ATCCTCTGGGGTTAGTGATAGGATTCAAGCTTTGGGATTGAGAGAATTCTGTAAGGAGCCCAACCATTCAATCTTTGCAACGTTTGGTAATGGAATTTTATGCCAACTTCCCTGAGCGTCAAAAGGAAAAATCTATGTTAGAGGTTTTCAGGTTCCATGTAATGCTATTGCTATTAATGAATATTATGGGTTGGAGAATGTGGAGAATGATGAGTATGCAGATTCTTACGGAATGCAGACTATGATGAAGTAAGTCAGAGGATAGCCAAGCCAGGAACTACTTGGCAGATTACTAAAAATGGGAGAAGAAAGTTTCCTAGCAACAATTTGAACACTGACACTCAAATTTGGCAGTATTTTGTGTGTTCAAAGATGATTCCAATCACACATCATAGTTCAGTGGATAGTGCTAGGGTCCTGATCTATTCCATCTACACAATGAAGAAAATGAATGCAGGAAAGATGATTATGACAAATATGATGCATGCAGCTAGACCAATGAGAGCTAGTTATCTTTCCCCTCATCTCATTACTACTCTGTAGGGGTGTGAAAAAAAATTCGAAAACCAAACCAGACCGAAACCGAGCGAAAATTCGATTTTTTTGTAAACCGGTTCAGTTTCGGTTTTCAAAATTTCATAAACCGATTATCCGGTTTGGTTTTCGGTTTATAGATTTTTTTCAAACCGGTTAACCGAAACCGGATTTTAAAACCAGTTTTTTTAAAAAGAAAAAAAGTAATATTTTTCCCCTGTTTAATATTGTCAAGAACATGGGAGAGTGTACATTTACAAGTCAAACCAAACCCAACCTCTAGGCGTCTCTCTCTCTCATTTCTACATCTCATGTGTAGATGTGTACCTCGTGGTTCGTGCTTCTTCATTCTCTCTCCCAATTTACCATTTAAGTTGTCATCTCCTCTTTCTCTCAAGTATTCAAATTCCATTCTCATACTCTCTCTTTCTCGCGACTGAAACTTGAGTTCTTTGGAATGGAGAGGAAAGAAACGGCTTCCTCTTAGTCTTAGTTCTAGAAATTCCTTATCGTCAACGAAACTTTTGAGGTACGTGGCTTCTCCTTCTAATCTCTATTTCTGATTAATTTGTTTTCTCGTGTTATTGTGTTTAGAACTTATTGTTATGAGTTTTTGCAGACCTTCAAGGTGCCATGCCAAGATTAATCATGAGATAATCAAATCTGCTATTGCCTTCGAAGGGAATGCTTTAGATTGAAAGAAGATTAAATTTTTTATATTTAAAATTCGGCTCAAGTCAGTTAACCAGTTTTTCGAACCGGTTATTCAGTCCGGTTTAAATTGGATTAAGCATTGATTCGGTTCGGTTTCAGTTTGGATTTTTGCTTGAATCGATTTTTCGGTTCGGTTAACCGGTTTTTCACAGCCCTACTGCTCTGTGTACGAAGGCAAGAGTTCAGATCTATCCAGATGAGATCCAGATCCAGCTAGCACCAATCCTGAATATGAAGTATATGTTGAACCTTAAGACAGATGCCCCGAAAAATCTAGTAGCCCCACAAGCGTCTCCTCATCCACAACAACAACCAATCTCTGATCTAAAACCCAGACAGGACCGACTAGTCTGACCGAGACCTGGGAGCCTCTCCGATCCGTTCAGGTTCCAAGGGATTCTGCTATATTTCAAATTTATAGGGACTAATTGAAATTTTGTAAGGGTGTTTTTACAATGTTTCAAAATTTTAGGGACTACTGTAATTTTTTTGGGCATTTTAAAAATGAATTAAAATTTCAAGGACTACTTTGTAATTTTTGGGGGTATTTTATAATATATAAAATTTAAGGGACTAATTAAATTTTTTAAAAATACTTGTTGACATCATCAATCCAATCGGTTGGACTGGTTAACCCGTGACCTAGTCACTTTGTCGAGTCTTATAATGGATCGGGTTTTAAAACAAATGTAATCAAGGAGCAAGTGCAGAAATTAACTGAAGATATGCACTACATGAAGCAATACCAATAATTGATAGGTGGCCAGTCGAACACAATCTTTGAGATGCGACGCCATAGTGTATCTTCAATGATATGGACATGACCCTAGTTAGTAAATACGCGTATAAAATGCGTTTTGACGTATGTTGTAAAAACTGTCGAATTATACACGTATAATATGAATACCCGTATAATTCGCGAATTATTCGCGTATTATTGCAAAAAAAAAAAAAAAAAACTCATTGCTCACCCCAAAACGACGTCGTTTTAGTGGGGTTTAATTCAAAATTAAACAAAATCTCTTCTCTTCTTCGGTTCTTCTTCTTCCTCAGTTCTTCGACGAACGACATTTTCAGCTTTTCTTCCTCAGTTCTTCCACGTTTTCAGCTTTTCTTCATCTCTTGGGTCTTCATCTCAGGAACCAGCAGAGTCATCAGAGGAAGCTTGGATGGCGAACTGGTTGACATTTTTAAGGGGTTTGTGTTTGTGTTTGGGGGAGAAGAATAAGTTTGAGGAAGGGAAAGTATTGGCAGAAAGAATAGCGCAGATGTCATTTTTGGAGCTCTGAAAGAAACAACTGGCCTTGTGGGTGAGACAGAACACTAAGAGATGATTTGATTGAAGAAGAGAGAGGAAGGGGGGTTTTTAAGATGGGTCATAGGTGTTTTGTGTTTGTGGTGGATTTCATCTCAACACTCATGACTCAACACTGCAATTATGTTTCTATTGCACAAACCAAAAAATAAATAAATATCTTTTCAAAGAACTTAGAACAAGACATGGGCTGGGAATTTGTTAACGCAAAGAAAAGAAAAGATTAATGTTAGTTAATTGAATACTCCCCATTTGAAATGTTATATTAATTTTAATTAGATACTCTTTATAAAGTGTTAATTAATTTTAATCAGATAGTCCATAAAAGTGTTAAAAACTATAATTGATATTGCCGTATTTTTTAAAACGTATTATTGATAATATATCGTATTAAACCCGTATATATCCGTATCGTATTTTTCCCATATCCGAATTTTATAGTCGAATTTTTATAAACGTATTTTTTACCGTTTGCCGTATTATACCCGTAAAATTTCCGTACCTTTTTTTTGCCATACCCATATTTACTAACTAGGGACATGACACGGACATGACACCTTTCCAACGGCAAGACTTCCAACCTGTTCCACCTGAAGCTGCAACCAATGATGAAGAAGAGGAGGAGGACGATGATGCGGAAGTTAACGATGAGGGATTTATTTTCTCAATTTTCTTTACACTCCATTAAAATTAGGTTTTAAGCATGTTACTACATTTTTTAATATACATTGATATCATGCACTTCATTAAACTGTAAAGTTGTATCTAGTATAAGCTTTTTATTAAAAATAAAAATTAGTTCAGCCTTAGTAAAATCTTGGCTACGCCCCTGATTCTTGGTAAGTGAAGTTGAACTATTGCTGCTTAATTGAATCTATAATGCCTCGGCCTCGCCCCTATGAATCCTTCAAACAAGGTAAGTAGCAAGGAAAATAAATTTGTGAAGACAGCTTTGAAAGTTACAGAGAAGTTTGACCCTTTCTTGAATAAAGAACGTGGGCACAGTATATAAGAGTACTTGCTATCATTGTTTTAAAAACCGGACCAGAGAGCAACCCGCTCTGCTAGTTGGGTCACGGTTCAACCGTCGATTGGACCGGTAACGTCATCACACATCATGAAAGCAAATTTTTATAGCCTAACCATTTCTAAAAAGCTAACACTAAAAGAGTTTTATAAATCATACTGTCGGCTAACCTAACATTTCGAATTCCTCTTCCAGTGAGTTGAGTAATTAAAAGCTAGCCTCCCAACCATTACATCTGGCTTGTTGAAACTTTATTTGTATTACAACAACTGCAAGATTAAAACATTTACAACACTCACGTAACTAAGTTGTGTAATGGCTACAAACTGAGATTGTACATTGTCCCCAATTCTTTACACTAAAGCATGGACAGTTTACTTTGTGGCTTCCAAATGATAAAAGGGATGAGTAAAATTTCAAAATTTGGATTCACACTATTTCAAAACAAAAGCAAAAATGATAAAATAAACATAAAATAGATCTTTTTATTTGCATATAAAAGTTATACAGTGGCTTGAATTCTAGTTCTGAAAATGCCTCTTATTAATACAAATAAAATTATATGACAACCAAGAAAAAAATAATTCAAAAGTTTGGAAATCACAGAGCTTGAAGGACATCCGAAGAAACACCTTCAAATGATTGAATCCATGTGGCAAAATGTTACCAAATTTCACAAACCATCCACCATCTGCAACGCATCATTCAAAAAGGGTAATTTGAAAGTACTAAGATTGTAATATATACTTCTCATACATCACTTCCACCCAAACAACAACAGCTCCAAACACAGTCAGAAACAATTCCATGCCAAAAATAATCTCCACACATCACTTCCACCCAAACAGCAACAGCACCAAACAAACGGTAGCTTAAAAATTGTACAATAAAATATCCAGTACTGCTCGGATAATGGGGTGCGAATTCTGTTAATAAATTGTAGCTCAAACAGTCAAACTTACTCTCTATTAAAAAAAGACAAAGAGAAAGCACACATTTCAAATTTCACAGCAAAGGTCCCAAAGATTACAACTCAACCTTGAATCAAATTGGATTGTCAAGACATGCATACTAATCGACCTTCATGCGTCGATTTCCGGCGAGGGAGAAACGCATCGTCGCGATTTCAGAGACTGAAGTTGTGATCGATTTTAGCAACGAATGGTTGTTATTTCAATAAGGGATGGTTGCGATTTCAAGAAGATTTGAGTTTTGATTTGTGATATTTTTCAGATTTTCGCGATTTCATTCAAATTTTTTTCAAGTTTTTTGCGCTTAGAGGAACTAAGGAAGAAGAAATTGCGCAGCACAAAGGGAGAAAGTGAGAAATTAGGGTTTTTTTCATTTTTCAGACTGGGCCAATTTTTCTTACGGTCTGATTGGCCTGGCGGTCCAGCACTGTTCACGTGGTCTAATGACAGGTTAAAACGGTTTATTGCGCAATAGCGGGTTTTATGCTGACTCGAACCGGACACGTGACCGGTTCACAGTCCAATCGATTGGACCGACCAGTCCGGTCTAGTCCGGCTTTTAAAACAGTGCTTGCTATAGCTCATAAATATTAATATATGCATTATACATTCTCCTTCAATGGTTCTAACCTAATTAAGGATCAAATCCCAAACCGGAATTTGGCTTCACTTAACGAGGCCCAAGACAAGCTAAAAGGCTTCTTTCTGAGCAGTAACAAGCCCTTTTACAGACAAGGCTATGAATCCATACAATTTCACTCTACATCCAATGCCTTGAAATACTGAGAAAACTCAAGTAGTTGTCAATCACAGCAATCATAAATCTACCATGCCAGTTAACCTCGCTTTACAGGCCTTTGAACATAAGATTTGTTGGGATCCTCTGTCTTGAGCTTTGGGGGTCGAATTTCTCCTTTCTTACCCTGCATATAAACAATAATGAAAACCATTGTTTCAGGTAATTGCACTTGATTTCATGTCGTTAGTACGAATCGATTGTTTCATCTAAAACAATTATCAATATATTATCTGACCTTCTTTCCTGTCTTCATGAAGTCTCTCCAGCTTGAAACCTGACATTAAAATGAAAAGGAGATCACTTGTAGTCCAATAAACCAAACTAGTTTTTAGAGAAATTTATTACTGTTTTATGTTCCCAACACTTGTAAATTTAGAAAGGTATACATAAAAGTATGACATAATATTTAGATAAATAGATCTCTATTTTCATATGTTCAAGAAAAAATCATCCTCATTTCTCAAAATTCTGAATATAAAAGCTAAAATTCATGTGCTGTGATCATGTTATCCCTATGTCTAGCATTATTTGGTTCGACCTGCGGTTAGTACAACTGAAGGGTCACTGCCACGAAACTCCAACCATTGCAAATTGAAACATTGTACAAAAGAGCATGCCCTAAATGACAATAATAGACACCAGGTGATGTGTTCCATTGTTTCTAACACTTTGGCTATGGCAAATTACTTATTAGCAAAATAATACAAGATGAGAAACCACACTTCAAATTACTTAAACCACTCTGCTCCAATTAGTCAGTTTGAACTACTAAACTAATAATTTCCTGGTAAAGTGAAACATCAGATCCGAAATAAAAAAAAAAAAAAAAAAAAAAAACAAACCCGTTGTTCTCTTGTTCCTTCCCACTGCTCCTCGTGCTCACGCTTTCTCTTCCACATTTCTTTTTGTTCCTCTTCATCCTTTTTCAATCTACCTTCCTCTTCTGATATCTACATGACAATAATAAGATCTAAATGAAGGAAAGCCCTAAACAAAAAAGGTTAAAGAAAACAAGAAACCGATCAGCATCCAGGATACCCTCATCTGCATTTTCCTCCTCCGCCATTCTTGTTGTGTTAATATTTCTCGAACCTTCAATTTCAGCTCCTGCTTAAACTCCTCTGATTGTTCATACTGTTGCTCATATTTTCCCTATATCATAGAGTGGTCAAATTCCACAGATTGAATGGAAGATTATGACATTATTAAATGGAAAATGGCAATGGAAACAGTAATTTAATATACAAGCAATGTACAAACTAGGAACAACCAAGTGGAGTCGCCAGCACAACAATTACTTCTCAAGAAAAGATAATAAGCTCAAAAGATTAACAACACATTCATAAGGTCATAAAAAGGTCAAGGTCAATTAAGTCTCTGATGGTAGTTGCCCTCATCAATTTATTATCACCTTGGTAATGAAACAAGCAATTCAAATTTGGAAACTGACCATGCCATCAGACCATAAGTCATACTTGGTACACAAGCTGAGCAAAAAGTAAGCTAAACAATGGAAAGTAACTGTGAAAGTTTCACTCAATTTTCAGTAATTTCTGCAAAACAGCTATATATGATTTTGCACATTAAAACTGCAAGTAACATCTAATTGAGCTACAATGATTTCAGTACAACTGATTGAAAGCTCATAATGATGGAACCCTATGCTTTGTCTCATATCACAAAGTTTGAAGGTCATAAGTGCGCCAGAAGCCCCGTAACTTATTCAGTAAAGCAGAGGAGACAAAAATCCTAACCTTTACTCCTGTACTCAAGTGCGGCAAATATATAAAGAATTTCTAGGATGCTTTGCAATTCACAAAAAACTATATTGACCTTCTAAATTGCAACACTTAACCTCTAAAAATATTAAGAAAACATTCTGATTCAACTTTTTAAAATATTAACTTCAGAATAAGCTATAGCAACCTTCAATGTAATGATTATATTAGAGCTAAATCTAGAAATCTAACTCCAAGAAGAATTCATTCAACCATACTGAATACAAATAACTCAATGAAAATATTATGTACAAAATATAACAAAGGATAAAACAGACATAAGTGATTTCTTACATACCTCGTCAACTAATGACTTTATTTTAGAGGCTGCATCTTTCTTCAACTGCCTCTTTCTCTTTGCCCTAAGTTCTTCTGCAGATAACAGAAATTAGGAATCAGCTTTTTTCTTAATTTAGGAAAGCATAAAAAACATATATATAGAAAGAAATTATTATTCATACTCTTAACAGAAGAAAAAAGAAAAGTTGCATTATGCCATAAATCAGGATATAAGACAGTTCAGATATGGCCATGGGAAGTAGCCATCCCAATGACACATTTCACACAAAATCCTAATTACACGCAATATAATTCATAAAAAATCTAGCCAAGTAAGAACATATATAACCAAATTTGAATCATGAAATACCTCTAGAAATGAAGTGAAACCAGAAAGCAGTTAAACTCAAGCGCAAAGAAAAGGATGAGAACACAGTACTGACCTTTTGCTGCATTAACTTGAGTAAGAATATAATCCCTTTCTTGTTCATCACCCAATAGTTGCTGTGCTTTTGCCAGTGCTGTTCACAGTCAACAACTTTATGATTACAAAACATTTCATGGAAAAAATAAATGATTGAATTTATCCATATCGCCTCAGGGCATTACTTGAAGTGGGCAATAACAGCTCTATGGTGCGAGAAACATGAACAAGACCATGCATCACAGATCAAAAACACTGTCTTACAAGTTGGGGTGTTACATGCATCACAGATCAAAAACAGCCTAGCACATCTCACAAGAAACTGATGGAAAAAAACTAAGGCTTCGTTTGGCTCACATTTGGGAATACTACTATTAGTATTCCCAATAAAGTTAAATAGTAAAATTGCAAAAACTCACAATATTATTCAACCTCTTTTAAACCCCCTAAATTTGTTAATTTAATTAAATACCCTTAAATATTTTTTTAGAAATTGCAAAAAAACCCCAGGAACCATATTTACCAGATTCCGGCCACCACCGCCGGAAAATGGCCAGAATCTGGTATAATGGCACACTACCGGCTGAATCTGGCCGGTACTGTGCCGATCTAGCCTTTTTCAGCCAGATCTTTGGCCGTAGTCAGTCGTCAACGACGGCCAACACATGGTCGTCGTTGACCATCAACGACGGCCGTATCTTTGGCCGTCATTGACAAGCAAATACGGCCAGATCTGGCCGTCAATGGCCAGATCTAGCTGTAGATCTAGCCTTTTCCGGCCATATCATATCGGCGCAAGACTGGCAAGATCCAACCGGTCATGTGCCGATACAACGACTCCGGCCACCCTCCGACGGTGGTGGCCGACTGTCCATATTTAATGGGTGGGTTGGGGGTGTTTTTATTAACTTTTAATGTTTTATTATAGGGGTTTTTAGTAAATAAGCAAACATAGGGGGGGTGTTCAGTAAATAAACAAATATAGAGGGTATTTTTATTTATTTTCAAATCCTACATCGTAATACCTGCCCAATTCAACTTTTTTTAACTTTTTTCCAAAAACTTTTCTAAAAAGTGTAAAAAAGTGAACCAAACGGAGCCTAAATGCATCTTCCTTAGGTGATATTAAATTAGAAATTAGAGTAAAACCGAAGACAGTCTCAGTTACGTCTGAAATCTATAACATCAACCACAACTTGATTCTTTAATTTCCTCCACAAAAGTTTGGACTGAGTTGGTATTCCAACAAACTAATAGGAGTAACTTCTTCTTCTTTTTTTTTTTTTTTTTTCTTTTTTTTTTTTTTTTGACAGTTGTAGAGGCAGCCCAAGGTCCCTGACAGATGACACAGAAAATTCAGATCATCATGTTATGGGGAAGTAAAATGAAAAGAAGCGCCAGAGATTCCCTTGATTTATATTTTAGTGATTTTATTCTATTTTCATATATTTTTATGTAAGACAAGGGTTTGTTTTGTAGGAGGTAGTTTAGACTATTACTCTATTTTTTATTAGGGTTTTGGCATCCTATAAACAGAGGCCTTGGCTATTATTGCTCTCAGACGTGATTTATTATAGAAAATGAATTTCGGCTTTCTCCCCAAGGTTACAATGTTTCCCCCCTTTCTAATTCTTCTCCCCTAATTCTATCCTTCCTTTTCTCCATCAACCCTACTCCACCTATTTTCAACCGTGCAAAACTAAAATTCACTATTCTACTACTAGTTTATGCCAACTATTCAAAATTCATTATTTTCTACTTCCAAATAGTCCATGGCATCACAAGGTCTATTAACTTCATTAAAATGTCTAATTTCCATAACTAGCATTGAACAGATATCCCGTTTTAAATAGTTAGCCTCAACAAACAAAATAAATTCGTGCAATTAAATGACAAGAAAGATCAAAGTAGAAATGCATTTTGATATAATAATTAGGAAAGAAGTTTGAAAAACCTAAGTCCTGTATTTTGTCAAAACCAAAATCTAGACCAGGAGACTTCACAACATTGAAGATAACAAATAGGCCCACTCTAAATATAGAGGGGAAATATAATTTAACAAAGTTCAAAAATTAAATTCCCCATCTTGAAGGTTTCAGTGAAAAAGAGTTTCTACACAATGCACTAAGGAACCTGCCTAGATTTGCTGACATCATTTGCCTTTGCTAAATGAGATAACTATAAGCAGACTGTTATCATGACAAACATCTTCCTGATATAAAGCAATACTTCTATTATCATTTTTTTTTATCCGATAGAATCTTTGCATCTACTATAAAATGCAAAAAAGATATACAGAAGATAAATGAAAAGCAACAAGGCTGCAAGGGCCAAAACAACTAAGCTCTGCCACAGAACCCTATCAGGCAGAACATTGAGCAATACGTGTTGCATTTGCTACATACTTATAAACCTCCATTTAACTCATACGTTGACATCTTTCACATAAATCAACAAATCAACCGTATGTTGGCTTTTTTTCTTCCTCCCTTTATTTTTTCCAAAAAGAAAAGAAAACTAGTGCACCTAAAATATGCATACAGCCAAGTTTGGACCAGATTCTAATATTATTTTAAATAGGTTATTGATTTAAATAGTTAGAACTGTGTACATACCTAAAAACAAAAGCAAAAAAGGCAAACAGTCCTACCCATAGCTCCCAATTCAAACATTGCCAGTGGATAACTTATCTGGATATAAAGCACCTTCAAGTATACATGATATTATCAACAACTGACTATCTGGGACATGTTAGTTTACCTTCCAAGAATAAATACCAATCTAGTTTCCTAGAAATTTAAAGTAAGCCCCATACCTAAGTTCCCGCAATCCGTCCATCTAAGAAATAATATTAATATCTGACAGCACCCTATCTTTAATGGTTGGCCTAAACTATTAGGCCCTTCAGTCTCAAAAACACCATAATAACCGATAGAAGGTTTTTTTAACAGTTAACTGTCTGGTCAAACAGCATTAGAACAGGAAAAATTAGAGGATATCCAGTTCCCTTGTAAACTGAACTTTTTGTGTTTAGTAGTCTTTGGATAGGATTGTAGAGATGCCATAGAAAAGCGATGTAGTAAAAATGAGAAGCCAAATATGATATCTTTATTCTCTGTAACCAAGAAAGGTATGAAGAGTGGATCTGTTTACCTGCAAAAGCTTCTTTTGCTTGTGGATGCTTGCATTTATCAGGATGAACCAACAAAGATAACTGTAAATGTTTCACACACAAATGCGTCAACCAGTGACAGACTCTAAATATCAGCAATAATCAGAAAATTGTTGATCCCGTCATTTTATGTCTTTAGTTTTTTGTCTACAAAAGAAAAAATAAATTACCTTACGATACTGTTTTTTTATATCATCTGGAGTTGCATCAAATGGTAGGTTTAAGTACTCAAATGGATTCAGCTTGAAGCATGATAGAATCCTAATTTTTTATAGTTTTTCAACAAGAAGAGATTAATTAGCATAGAACAAACTAAGTTACAGAAACGAAGAAAACTATATTAGATCAAGAATGGAAGTGTTAAAGGAGTTGATGTATGTACAATCAAAAGAGAAACACAACAATAAAGATGAGATATCCTTCCAAGAGGGGGGAAAATGAGGATTATAATCTGGGGGGATGGGGGTAATGATGCAGGCATTAAAAAGATATCTGTGATAAATTTTAATTAATAAATGTATGGTCAAAAAGTCAAGTAAAAAAATGAATGCGAAAGAGTTTCGTACTTAAATTTAGAGTCAATAATCAATCCTTTTTTTTTTAAGACAATAGTCCATGAAGTCAAAGGAAAAGCAAGGACTTTTAATTTAAAGTTATCTAGAAAATTTTAGTTAGTGCTGTACTTGTCATAAAAAAACAATTCAAGTTAGAGCTATAAAAGGGCGGAGCAAACTCATTGTAAACAGGTTTCCAGCATTAAACATATCAGTGTTTTATCCAAAATTCTTATTATTCTACAGGTGTGGCTTTTCCTTGATTTAACCTCAAGAAATCTTGGCTAAAATGGAGATTGAAGAAATTCAGTCCCTAATCCATTTATAGTAGGCTATACTTATTTACAGTTTGCATCAAATAATGAACGAAACACTTTTAACAAGAGAGACAGAAAACCTCCAAGATGAAAAACAAAATCAAGGGGGCATAAGTCTCCACAGAGGATTATTTGTGCCCTTAACGAATAAATAGAAGGAATTAGTTAGTGCATAAGGAGAGAATTGTGCAATCTCCAGAAGTTCAAGCAAAATGGCAGCTTCCTCAAACTAAAAGTATGAAAAGAAGATGGAAAGAATATCTACATTATGAGAAGAATTAAAAAGCATGAAAATACTCCTACGGTGAGAAAATGTATAAATATACCATGACGCTGAAAGAGACTAAAGAAAATGTGAGAGTAAGACATGACAAGAAGTCAACCAAAATATCTCCCTATGAAAGAGGGTTATTTTTAAAGTTCGGGGGTAAACTTTCCACCAATAAGTAGCTTGAATGAGGTAACCAAACCATTTAAATAAGAGGAATTTCATTGTCTAATACTCATATGCTAAATGTTTTTGGCTAAATACTCAATGAGACAGCAGAATGTCAGCAAATGAATGAAAAATTAAAAATCCTTTAACCTTAAAATATTTGAATATGAAGTGTTCTAGGAGTTTTTAGATTGTTCTTGAATGTGAGTTTCTGAAGTATATTGATTAAACACTATGCCTGTACTCTACTTCAAGAAAAACTATTCATTTTATTATCCAAAAAACTCCACAAAACTGAAATTCACACAGAATTATTCACGTAGAGCAAATCCTGGTAAAATAATCAGGCGAAACCCTAAATGGTGAAATTAAGAACAGAAAGGATGTGTTAAATAGCATATTTTCATCTCTATCTTTCTTTTTCAAGGCGTTATGCAATCATGAATGAAACATCATTTCAGTTTCATCAATAAATTAATTAACATAAGATTTTATAAGAGTTGAAGGTACAAATTTTCATCACATTCATTACAGCTTGACTGTTCTCAAGTTGAATAAAATTTAGATATATTTTCATCATTCCTCCCAAAAAAAAAAAACTCTAAGTTATCTCTAAATGTAAAAAATACCCTGAGTAACTAATGAGTACATGAACCCTCCCATCTTTACACCAGCATTTGAAAACTATAACATCGTATTGCCTAAAGATGCAGCACATATACATTAACTCTTCCACAATCTCTCCTTGACACATACAAAGCAAAATCATTTTCAAACTCTTATTTAATTTTATTTTTGGTTTTGCCCACCCAATTTATCTACAGAATAGACATTTCAGCCACAGCATAGATATTTATATAAAAAAACATTAAAGATAACCTATTCCTAATTACCACTCCAATGCAATACATACGAAATCAAAATGATACCTAATAAATTGTTCAATCTAAAACACAAAACAAATATATTTCATCTGAGGTAGAAGTACATGTATCCAAACCACACAATTACCAAAAATCCTATGCAAGAACTATTTTTTTATACATTACATGAACATATCGAGAAAGTTTCTTTTGAAACCCCAACAGCAACTAATCAAAAAGCAAATTGTATGATCTTAAATTACACAAATATACATAAAAATTCAGAGATAAATCGACACCAGAAACCCTAAACTCCTATTAAAAAATATAATAATAGCATCAGACGAACGACAAAGAATGAAACAATTAACACAGAGAGCGAGAGAGAGAGAGAGAGAGAGAGAGAGAGACCTGAGGACTTCGTTATCTCTTTCAACTTCGCTGACTTCGGCGAAGAAGCTCTTGAGAAGCAAATCCTCATAGACGGTGTCTCCCATCGCGCTGTTGCTTTTACGATATCTTTCTTCTTCTCTTCTCCTTATGTGTGTTTCTCTCTAGTCGAGTAACGTCACAGATGGCTCGTTTTGGGAGTTGGCTTGACGGTCCAGATCAATTGAAATTGCTGTTACCTCCTTTTAAGTAAGGCCCTTTTTAGAAGAAAGAACTTTGATAGTGTTCGGTTCTATTCTCAATCTCATGTTATATTAATAGATTAGAAAGACATATTACTTACGATGTATTTAGTTGAAGGTTATTTTTATCAAGGTAATATCACCTTATATCACTTAAAAAATAAGTTAAGACTACCATATTTGATTATTAAATAATATAATCTTTTAAAAACAATAATTATTTTCGATGGTTATCTCTATTTTCTTAAGTATTTTAAGATTAATTTTAATTTTATTATAATTTTACCATTAACTATTAAATTTTTTGGACAATAATACTCTTATTTTAAAATTAATTTACAAGAACTTGTCATTACAATTTTATCCCTAATTAATTAAGTTTTTTTATAATAATGTTCTTATATTTAAAACAAATTGCAAGCCACCTAGGATCATCGTCGTCGCCTGACGTTGTCAGAATGGCGCACAACCAATCAAATTTGATCGGTTGTGCACCGATCTAGTTGTTTCCCACCAAATCCACGAGCATCTAGCCTTTTGCGGCCATTGATCCATGGCCATGACAATTTGAAAATAGATCTAGTTGTTTTTAGTCAGATCTACGGCCATATCGACGCACAATCGGTTAGATCTGATTGGTCGTGAGCCGTTCTGATGACTGTTGATAGTCGACGCCCGACAGTTGTGTACAATGGTGACTAATTTTGGGTGGTTTTCATATAAATAGTGAGGGGCATTTATGTCCAAAAAAATAATTTATAAAGTTATAGAAATCATTTTACACAATTGGACTAATTGTTATTTGGCTAACATATAATGGCATTTGTGTACGAAAATTTTTTAATTAAGGGTAAAATTTGTATGAATAGTAGATTACCCTGGTAATCTTTTAATAACACCCCTTAGAAACAGTAATATGATTACCCCTATATCACCTACAATAAAAACTATTGGTTTATAATATTTGAAAACCAAATATGAGAATGTCTAGAATCAAAAATAAATTACCAACATTATCTTCTTCCAGCCCCAAGCATCTAGTAAACCTCCGCCTCTTTTTTCCCTCATAAGGATTGCTGCCTTGCCCTCACGTTGGTTTATCAACTATTCAAAATTCGTGGTAAAAAAAGAAGAAAGGAAGACAGTAAACATATTAGGCCAATTGCTCCTAATAGAATCTGCATTAGGTCGCCATTGCAAATTTTTGTACTTTCATTAATTTTGCAATTGTAATTTGATTTTTGCTGTAATTTCCTAATAACATTTAATTCTAAAGGGCTATTATCCCTTGCCTCCCCTGAGGTTTAGGTTTAGGCCAGTTACACCCCGGAGGTATAAAATAGCATCTTAAGCCTCACTTCATATTTCAGAAATTGTCGCATACCTCCCCTCTAAGTTGTTAATTAACAAAAAATCATTATATAACCAGGGGCAAGTAAACACATAAAAGTGCAAGAAAAAATAAAAACAAGGGGAGGATTTTTACCACCTGTGTTTTCTTTTACCTCTATGTCTAATAATAAGTCTGGAAGGCAAACACTGTAGCCTTTGTTTCCCAACCACCATCTTTCATAACAAATAACCATCCTTCTATTTTTCATACTAATAAAGTTTGCTTATTAATTATAAGTTATAACTAATAATTATTGAAATTAAATATTTTACTAAAATACTTAATAAATTCAAACAATTTCCATATAATATCATATTGATGATAATTTTAAAACAAATTAATTAAATATATAATGATAATTCAATTAGTAAAAAAGAAACATCATCCTAAACTATAAATAATTAACAAAGATATTGCAATCTTCTTTAATTACAATGTATTTATCTCTTTGAGTNCCCCAACAGCAACTAATCAAAAAGCAAATTGTATGATCTTAAATTACACAAATATACATAAAAATTCAGAGATAAATCGACACCAGAAACCCTAAACTCCTATTAAAAAATATAATAATAGCATCAGACGAACGACAAAGAATGAAACAATTAACACAGAGAGCGAGAGAGAGAGAGAGAGAGAGAGAGAGAGACCTGAGGACTTCGTTATCTCTTTCAACTTCGCTGACTTCGGCGAAGAAGCTCTTGAGAAGCAGATCCTCATAGACGGTGTCTCCCATCGCGCTGTTGCTTTTACGATATCTTTCTTCTTCTCCTCTCCTTATGTGTGTTTCTCTCTAGTCGAGTAACGTCACAGATGGCTCGTTTTGGGAGTTGGCTTGACGGTCCAGATCAAATGAAAATTGCTCCTTTTAAGTAAGGCCCTTTTTAGAAGAATGAACTTTGATAGTGTTCGGTTCTATTCTCAATCTCATGTTATATTAATAGGAAGAAATATTACTTAGGATGTATTTAGTTGAAGGTTTTTTTCCATTACCGGTAATATCACCTTATATTATTTAAAAAAACTAAAAAAGAAGTTAAGGTTATCATATTTGATTATTAACTACTATAAAATTTTTATAATCTTTTAAAACCAATAATTATTATCGACAGTTATATAAAAGGTAATCTGAATATCTCTATTTTCTTAAGTATTTTAAGATTATTTGGTAATCTTAATTTTATTACAATTTTACCATTAACTATTAAATTTTTTTGACAATAATGCTCTTATTTTAAAATTAATTTACAAGAACTTGTCATTACAATTTTACCTCTAATTAATTAAGTTTTTTGATAATAATGTTCTTATATTTAAAACAAATTGCATTATTGCAGGCCACCTAGGACCGTCGTCGTCACCTGACGTCGTCAGAACGGCGCACAACCAGTTAAATTTGATCGGTCGTGCACCGATCTAGTTGTTTCCCACCAAATCCACAACCATCTAGCCTTTTGCGGCCATTGATCCACGGCCATGACAATTTGAGAATAAATCTAGTCGTTTTTAGACAGATCTACGGTCATATCGACGTACAATCGGCCAGATCTGATTGGTCATGCGCCATTCCGGTGACTGCCGATGGCCGACGCCTGACAATTGTCTGCAATGGTGACTAATTTTGGGTGGTTTTCATATAAATAGTGAGGGGCATTTATGTCCAAAAAAATAATCTATAAAGTTATAGAAATCATTTTGCACAATTGGACTAATTATTATTTGGCTGACATATAATGGCATTTGTGTACGAAAAGTTTTTAATTAAGGGTAAAATTTGTATAAATAGTAGATTATCCCAATAATCTTTTAATAACACCCCTTGAGACAATAATATGATTACCCCCTATATCACCTACAGTAAACACTATTGACTTTACAATATTATCAAAATATTTTATTACTTGAAAACCAATATGAGAATATCTGGAATCAAAGATAAATTACCAATGTTATCTTCTTCCAGCCCTAACCATCTAGTAAACCTCCGCCTCTTTTTTCCCTCATAAGGATTGTTGCCTTGCCCTCACGTTGGTTTAACAACTGTTCAAAATTCGTGGTAAAAAAAGAAGAAAGGAAGACAGTAAACATATTAGGCCAATTGCTCCTAATAGAATCTGCATTAGGTCGCCATTGCAAATTTTTGTACTTTCCTTAATTTTGCAATTGTAATTTGATTTTTGCTGTAATTTCCTAATAACATTTAATTCTAAAGGGCTATTATCCCTTGCCTCCCCTGAGGTTTAGGTTTTGGCTAGTTACACCCCGGAGGTATAAAATAGCATCTTAAACCTCACTTCATATTTCAGAAATTGTCGCATACCTCCCCTCTAAGTTGTTAATTAACAAAAATCATTATATAACCAGGGGTAAGTAAACACATAAAAGTGCAAGAAAAAATAAAAACAAGGGGAGGATTTTTACCACCTGTGTTTTCTTTTACCTTTATGTCTAATAATAAGTCTGGACGGCAAACACTGTAGCCTTTTTTTCCCAACCACCATCTTTCATAACAAATAACCATCCTTCTATTTTTCATGCTAATAAAGTTTGCTTATTAATTATAAGTTATAACTAATAATTATTGAAATTAAATATTTTACTAAAATACTTAATAAATTCAAACCATTTCCTTATATTATGATATTGATGATAATTTTAAAACAAATTAATTAAATATATAATGATAATTCAATTAGTAAAAAAGAAACATCATCCCAAACTATAAATAATTAACAAAGATATTGCAATCCTCTTTAATTACAATGTATTTATCTCTTTGAGTGCATAAAAAAATTCTAAAATTCTAAACCCCCCCCCCCAAAAAAAATGCCCATCATTCTATTTTTCTTTTTCTCTCCAACACAAAATCTTCAATCTTTAAAGAGAACAACCATCCTAAACTTTGTATCCTTAAAATGTTATGCCTGGAAAAGTAGGGCTGACGCAAAGCCCTGTCAGCGTAAGTGGTCAAAGCTTAGGCAAGTCCAGCAGTCGTCCAGACGCAACCACGTCGCATGATGTCGTAAGTGGTATGCTCCTGACAGTTCAGTGGGTGTGCGCCAAGCTAGCGAAAGGCTAGAGGTGATCCACGTGTCCAATCCCTGCAAAACTCGAGTGAATTACTCGAGCAGGTGAATAACGAGGCGCAAGGAAGGATTTGCACAGCAATCTGACCCACTCACGGATTTAGTAATCATTACATGATTTTATCCCACTATAAATAAAGGGCTTCTCTCCCGTTTGTGGGATTGGCTAATTTCTCTCTGTAATAACTTATTTTCTCTTTGTAATCACTTGTAAGTCAGCTCGCGCTTATTTTCTCTTTGTAATCACTTGTAAGTCAGCTCGCTGAACGCGACCTGATCTTAGTATATTAATACAATATCAATGGGCATAGGAGTCGCTTGTTTAAGCATCTGAATCACTTAAACATCGTTTTCTATCTTTTATCTATTTTCATACCTCTAATCGCGTGTGTTCTCTGAGTCAACTCAGCATTTCACATGTGTATTTAGTTGGTTGGTGTCAAAATCAAAATCACTCATAAAAAGAGAAAGAAATTTTTTATAAAGTTAAAAGCTCCATAGCCGTTCTAAACTTTGTATCTTTAATCTGCCATTGATAAAATGTATATTGAAAAACAAAAAAATTTATCGGTAGGCCATTAAATGAATTGAATATGTAATTAGATAAGGATAATCTTAAAAACTAGAATCGGGCAGTGTAATTAGATAAGGATAATCTTAAAAACTAGAATCGGGTAGGGGCCGCGCGAACGCAGGCCCCCGCTGCCACAAATAATGACGTAGGCTCTCCCAGCTTGGGGAGACCTTAAAGCAGCACCCCTTCCATGTGCAATGAAGGTTACGGCCCTAGGCCATGGGTCTTCTTGATCTCCCATTGACCCCGTCCAGGTAAGTGATTTTAACGTCGCTCCATGTTCATTATTTGTACTTTCCTTTTCCCATATCCTTTGTTGTGTGTTCGATGTGGGATTTATCTCAATCTCTCTTTTTTTTTTTTTTTTGGTTGCATTAATATGAATATTCCTATGGATTATCATAGTTTACAACTTCAAAGTCTATTCATCAGCGTAATCTAATATGAGTTCACCATAGAACAATTACAGTTAGTAAATTAATTAATTAAAAAAAGGTGCTGTACAAGCTTTTTACAGTCAAAAAGCGGAATTTCCGAATAACCAACGCTCTAGAAATTTATGCAAAATCCTGTAAAGAAAAAAAAATTGAAATTTTTATTGCTATTATAATTTATAAAATATATTAAATATACCCTTTTTTATTAAAAGTACAATACTACCACATAATTCATTTGACTTGAAATAAATTTAAATATGATCGCTCTCATTTGACTTAAAATAAGTTAGAATGTGTTTGACAAACATTTTACTTAAAATTGTTGTGTTTTTAAAAACGATGAAGACATGTTTAGAAAATTGGATTTTAAATTGTTGCTATATGTATAAAGAAGAAAAAAAAAAAAAGGACATTAATTCTGCAAGTATTTTCATAATTATTAAAATATATTTCAATAAATACTAAAAATATAGAAAATAAAATAAATTATTAATTTTATTAAAAATTATGCTTAAAATTGTTGTGTTTTCAAAGCTATGAAGAGATGTTTAGTAAAATGGATTTTCAATTGTTGCTATTATGACATGTGTATAAAGAGGGAAAAAAAAAAGGACATTTTATTTCTTAAAGTATTTAATTATCAAATATATTTCAATAAATACTAAAAATAAAGATAATATAAAAAAATATTTTTAAAAAAAATTGTTTAAAATTTGTGTGGCCTCAGAATCTAGGAAGGCATGTTTTGTAAAATGGATATGTATAAAGAAAAAAAACAGACATATTTTATTTCTTAATGTATTTTCACAATTATTAAGTAATATTTTAGTAAATACTAACAATAAAGAAAATAAAATAAATTATTAATTTTATTAAAAAGAAAATACAAATATTTCATTTCAAATTGTCGTTGCTTATATAAAGACAAGAAAGGACATATTATATTTCTAAAACTATTTTCATAATTACTAAATTATATTTTAATAAATACTAAAATAAATTATTAGTTTTATTAAAAAGAAAAATGCGAAATATTTATATTTCAAAAATTGTTCGTTGCTTGTGTAAAGAAAAAAATTCATAGCTGTTAAAATATATTTTAATTATATTTAAAAAAAAAGAAAAGAAAAGAAATTATTAATTTTATTAAAAAGGAAGGAATATAGAAAAAATCTGAGCGCTACTAGTGGCGTGTATGGCGCGAGTGTTGATAACAGGGTGACAGCCAACAAGTCAAATTATTATTTTTTAATTTCATAAAAAATATTAATAAATTACTATTAAATGAATTAAGAATTAATTGGATTTTTCAAAGTTACTCTAGGTATCAAACTGATGAATGAATAATAAGTTTAAACTGTCATCACTTTAAAAAGTAGTTTATCAAAACCTTAGTATCATAATTTTAAGAATTGACTTAATTATAGCAATCCCAAATATACACGTTTTGTATTTAGTTTTTATATATAATACAAAGTAAGAAACAATAGAACTTTTAAAATATAAAATTAAATTATAAATTTGGTTATAGTTTAGAAATAAATTAAATATAAGTTAAAAGTTTTTATATGGGTTAATGGCTAGTGCCTATTAGATAGATCATGATGTAAGCTTGTTGATGAATTATACGTTATGCAACAACCAATAATAATTGTATAATATAGTGAAACTCTTTTATTTATTAGATGAAGCCTATCTTTCTCATCATATAATATATTACTCTTTTTTTATTTGCTTTCAAATGATAGCTGTATTTAACTAACCTAACACATATCTGCATCTTCTAATTATATTTAATGTTTATACTTCGCCAAACACTATTATAATCCAATCTTGCCTGTCAAACAATATCATTTATAGCCATGAGCTATCAGGTTCACTACAGGAACAAGGTAAGTCTTCCACTATTTAATTTTAAAATTTGTTTATTGTAATGCATTTTTACACCTTTCGCAATACAACAATGTTAGTGGAGGTTTTTACGTGGACACCTCTAAGGTTTGGAATTTAATATTTACACCCGATACAAGTTAGTGAAAAGCAACAATAAATGTATACGTGTAATTCACATCGATTCAATATATATTATCAACATTAGATAATTAGATTTATTGGAGAATAATGGATGAATTCATGTACTAAAAAAGGCATCATTTACTATGAACTTCTTAACAAATATAATATCGAAATTATTGAAATTTGCATAAATTTTAATTAAATCTTTAAGTTAGAACGTCATCTTAAAATAGAATTATAATTTTGAGGCTTTAATGAAATTTGAGCATAATCATAGGATCCAAACTATTTCAGTGAGTCAAATAACAAATTAAAATAAATAATGCAACCAATTATAAATCTATTGTAACGGAAAAACCAATATCAAAACATCCCTAATTCAATAATTAACTCTTTAAATTCTTTTGCCTGTTATATTTAAGGAGTGTATACAAATAATAATTTAATAATTAACTCTTTATTTAGTTTTTGCCTTCTATGATAAATAAGTTGGGATACTGTAATATAAATTGACTTTAAATATTTTTTGTCTTCACATAAAATCAACGAGTGAGGATATAGTAACATACAAAATATAAAATTAATGAGTTATGATATAATAAATATCAGATTACTTAAAAGATTATTTTCTATTTCAGATCATAATTTATCTTAAACTTATAAAACAGAAGTACAATTAACGAAATATAATTTCATTAATTATTGAGTAATGGCTGTTGAAACAATCAGCTTGCAAGTCCGCTCTAGAATTGCCACGTCTAAAATTATGAGAAAACATTATTGTTAATTATTAAAAGTAACAAATAAAAATTATATAATAAAATTGGACAGGGGCCGCGCGAACGCAGGCCCCCACTGCCACAAATTATGACGTAGGCTCTCCCAACTTGGGGAGACCTTAGGGTAGCACCCCTCCCAAGTGCAATGGAGGTCACTGCCCTAGGCCATGGGCCTCCTTGATCACCCATTGACCCCGTCCAGGTAAGTATAATTCTCGTGGGCTTTGTACCTTTTATTTATATCTCTCTTTTGGATTGCTTTTTCTTTTGTCTATGCAATGTGGGATTCATCCTTAATGCTTTTCATTTATCGTGAAAGCTCAAATTGATTGAAAAATACCCATAAATTTTTTTCATTTCATGAAAGATTAAAAAAAAAACTAGCTATTTCTATTTAATACTATATTCAACTATTTTAAATAATATGAATACCAACCAATGATTAATGCTCACAGTATCACCTAATAAACTTCAATTATTTTGAGTATGATTTTATTTAAGAACTCTGAAAATAACCTTTTCATTTGGAGTAATGACTAGTGTAGTTTGGTATTTTTGTATTTAACTGAATTAGTTGGTCATAATGTAGGCATAGATGTTAAGTAAACTTCACTTAAACCCCCAATTTGTTTTAATTTGAATTAGTATCCCAACATTTTGAGATTGTTTTGGAAAGGAATGAACCTTTAGCCCAATCATATTTCGTTTTAGACCTTGATTTGAGGAGAATTTTGAATTTTGATTTACTCAAAAGTTGGAACTTAGAAATGCATTTGATGCCCGAATCCATATCATGTATACGTCAATCCAAAAGTAGAGTTTAACCAAGATAAATTGTTGTTTCTTCTTTCTTTTGCTTACCTTTATTACTTCATCATATTCACACTTGAATTACACTTTTTTTTACAACATTGTAAAATGTATTTTGTTATTCTAAGGGAGCCGCCCGTCTGCTACTTAAAATTGACAATTACCCAAAAAAAAAAAAGTAAGAGAATTAATTTTTACCTCCTCCAATTTATTACTATCCTCAGTTTTATATATATAGGTATAATTTGAACAATTTATCCTTAACAAAAGTTACTAGATGTACATGTAGACGTAAAAATCTACCTTACGGAAAAGGGGGGTCTGATCCCTCGAGGTTGAGCCACTACTATCTACTGTACCTACACACGTGAAGCGAACGGAAAACACTAGGGTGGTGTTTGCCGTGGCACTCCGACGCTCAAGTCAGCAAGGCTAAAAGGCTAATATAGTGAGGGCTAGGGAATGAAGATTACGGAAGTCTAGTCGGGGACTGTGACTATGGCGAATAAGTGAACTCTCGAGTTAAAGAGTTTAGGCTGTGAAGGTGTAATGTCGATGTCTTTTGTAAGGGCTGGCCTCTGCTTATATAGTCGTCTGGTCTTCCAATCCTAGTGGGAGCAAGATTCCTGGTGTGACTGTGATGCCAACCCTAAAAGAATCAGGCCGTATCAGCTGTCCTTACGTGTCTAATAGAATTTAATTCCGTTTAGGAGAATGACCCTCAAGTGGGAAAGTCCTCAGGAAAGAGGAAGACGACCTTGAATAGGGGATTGATCAAGAATGGGAAAATGTTGAAGGGGCTATGGGCTCTGGGCTCACCCATAGGCCTAGATATTGGACAGGGCTTAAGAGGCTCGCGCCCATGTAGTTCGGGCCGGTTATACTTCGTATCAGATGGGGCTAATCCGAATTGGGCCTCTGCAAGATTAGGCCTGGTCATTCTTTACCAGTGATCTTGTTTCCCTATTTGGGCCGAGGACGATTTTTGGCCTTAACAGTACACTTATAATCTATTTTATATTTTCAATTTTTAGATAAACCCTATATCTATATCTTTATAATCATTAAAACAATTTTTTTTTTTAATTTCAAATATTTATTTGGTTGACGAAAATACATATATTGTTAACACTATGGAGAAAGTAATTACACAACAGGATAAACTTAAATCTAAAGAAGAAAAAGTATGTGTTTGTTTTGTTATTTTGAGTAGTATTTTTGAAAAAGTTGAGTTGAGTTATTATTACAAAGATTGGATTTGAATTTGAAATGTGTTTGGTAAAACTATTTTTTAACCTCCTACATTTGTTAATTGGTTAAACACCCCTTACAATAAAAGTTTTAAAATTAACAAAAACACCCACATCCACACCCACCCATTAAATGCCGGTAGTCGGTCACCACCATCGGATGGTGGTTAGAAGTCGTCGGAATGGCACACGACCGACTGGATGTAGCCGGTTGGGGGTGTTTAGTTAAATTAACAAATCTAATGGGTTAAAAAAATATAAATATTTTGAGTTAAATAGAATAAGATTGGATTTTGAGAATATTGAAATAAACATGTATTTTGAACATGATATGATTGAGATAGGGAAACAAAGAGGGAGCCTAAGTTTCAAATTTTAAATTGGAGAAAATAGTTATAAACAAAAAAACCTAATTAAGTTTGAAATTAGGAAAATGGTGTAAAAAAACGTAATTAAATATGAAATTGAAGAAAATAAATGTAAAAAAAAAAAAAAAAAATTAAACTTAAAATGTTAATTTTCGTATTAAACAAGGTTTAAAGATTTAAAAATAATAATAATAATAATACAAAGAGGTATACTTAGCACAAATTAGACCGGGCTTAAGAATCACTCGTCAAAAAACATAGGTTAGTTCCACGTGCAAGCAAAGCAAAAGCCCAAACAGAGAATCAAACAAAAGAGGCAATAGAGATAACAAAACTTGGGAACTTTCTTTACCCATCACTACAAGCCACCAAAAGAATAAACACAAAATGCTCTTTCAGTTTCAATTGTTATTAACATTTTTATGAACCTGGGTCACTCTACTTCTTACATTCATGCAAATCCATTACTTCCCATTTGATTAATTTATGGTTTATTCACCATTAACGTTGCTATGGGCGCTCAGAAGAGCATCCATGCTGGCAAAGGTCTCTATTTTTTTTTTTTTTCTACTTGTTATCTTTAATTAGTACACGATTTTCATTCATTTAGTTATTGATAATGTATTCTTGTGTTCTTATTTGCAGCCAAGATTGATGTTAATGTTGATTTCACTCACAAACTTTGTGCTTCTTTGATGTTTCCTCCTCCCAGGTTTTTTTCCACAACTCATTTGTTTTTTTATTATTATTTTTTTAACACATTGCAATTGTTAGTGTAATTGAGCTTCCTCTGTCACTGTTTTTTGTTCAACAGGAACACTGCCAGTCCCCTTTCTCTTGTAATTGGCAGGTGGGTATTTTAGTTTTGTTATTATGTTATAGTTTGTTTCTGGTTCTGTATGAAATTGTAACTTTTTTCTTTTTTATCTTGATTTTTATTAGTGATTAAGAGTAGAGATTTAAAGGTTGGTGTAAAAAATGATTCAATGTGTTATTTGCAGTCTATGCATTAAACATCCAAATTTATTTGGTGGAAGTGAGAAGCTTGATGTATCTTGGGATAAGGGGCTTTATGATTCAAATGTGTTGTTAGCTTATAGAAGGCCAAGACCTGAATGGCTTTCTCAACAGTGTTTTGTTGTTCAGGTATATATCTCCACATTTCTTTTAAAGCCATATTTTCCCTTGTTTTATATGGTCTCTGGTGAGTGTATTCAATGGGAGACTACAATTTTTATTAGTTTGGACATTTTAGGGACTTCTCAAACCAATTTGGTTTAATTAATAGGAACCCTATTGAGATTTTGTAGTGAAATTTTGATTTTGTGCTGGAATTCAGGGTATATGTGTTTTAATTTTTTAAATTTGTGCAGCATTCTCTTTCACCAGAAATTGGGGTCCATGGAGTTCCCATTGACAATTTTTCCCGCTCAGGGAGTGGAGGAGTGAATTTGTCTCGTTTATCACTTGGGTTAGATATGAGTGAACCTACAAGTTCCAGATGGAGCAGCACGACTAGTATAAAATTTGAGGTTTGCTGAAGATTCTTGACTTATCACTTACTACAGTATCTACAGTCTACTTGGCATCTAAATTTTAATAGTTTGTTTATCTGCAATTCATGAGTCTATTACTTATTCGGTCGGGAGAATAACTACGTTGAGGCATGCAGCATGTTCGTCCTGTGAATGATGATTGGCGCTGTATAAGTAGAGATCTTGATGGGTTTCCTGTGACTTGCAGGTGATTGAGATTTGCACTTCTGCACTTCAATGATACGATGATCTGATTTCTAATTTCCTTTCTTTTTTAAATGCTCGGTATGCAGTGGTAGCACCTCTGACAATATGTTAGTTTTAAAGCAAGAGTCTCGATATGCAAAGGCAAATGATCACAGTTTTTCTCGTGTAAAGTATCTCTATTTGCCAATCTACAGCGCAATAATTTTTTTGTAATTTGATTTGTATTATAATTGCTATTTTTCTTGTGTTCCACTAACTCTGTGAGTTGCTCATCTTTTCAGTTTAGCATGCAAATAGAACAAGGAATCCCAGTGCTGTCAAAGTGGCTAATCTTCAATAGGTTCAAATTTGTTGTATCAAAGGGTTTTAAACTTGGACCAGCATTTCTCTTGACTAGGTGAACAACATTTCCTTTGGCTCAATTATGCTTGGTTATTAAAACATGTATGTTGGTAAGCTGTAGTTCATAGCAGGAATGCTGGGAAGCTAGTATCTGATTCAGGAGATCAGCTAAAAATCTTAGCAAACACATAAGACAGTTTCAGATAAATTGAAGATGCCATACTGTCTTGTTTTTTATCGGAATTAGGAATTAGTAAATTGATGGAGAAAAAGGAAAAATCATGACTTACACTATATGAACTACAAGAAGAAATCGTCAGTTTTTATAAAGTAAAATGGTTAAATGTACTACAAGTGGATACCTTGGCCGACAAATCGAAATTAAGTGAACAACATTTCCTTTGGTTCAATTATGCTTGGTTATTAAAACATGTATGTTGGTAAGCCATAGTTCAAAGCAGGAATGCTGGGAAGCTAGTATCTGATTCAGGAGATCAGCTAAAAATCTTAGCAAACACATAAGACCATTTCAGATAAATTGAAGATGCCACACTGTCGTTTTTTTATCGGAATTAGGAATTAGTAAATTGATGGAGAAAAAGGAAAAATTATGACTTACACTATATTAACTACAAGAAGAAATCGTCAGTTTTTATAAAGTGAAATGGTTAAATGTGCTACAAGTGGATACCTAGACCGACAAATCGAAATTAGGTTTTATATTCTTGCTTTGTTTACATCTCACTTACTTTTTCCTCTTATAGTCTGACAGGTGGCTCCATAGTTGGGGACATGGCTCCTTATCAAGCATTTGCAATTGGGGGTCTTGGTAGTGTGAGAGGATATGGCGAGGGTGCTGTTGGATGTGGACGATCATGTCTGGTTGCTAATACTGAATTAACATTCCCTCTGGTATGAAATGGCTTTATCTCATTATTATTTTTACTTAGCCTTGAGTTGTAATAACTTGTATATCATATTTGTTGCCTTTAATGCCTTGGCTATCTGGCTGACTCATAACATTCGCAGTCTTCTTGTACATACTACAGTAAATAATGTTCAATATTTCTGGATTTTTTTCAACTACTCTTTGGCTCAGAAGACTCATTTATAATATAGATACATGCCATGCAACAATGTCATGGCAAATTGTGGACCATTTTGGGTTACTTCTAACTACCTATTTTCCCTTTTTAATGGCTGAAGTCTGCTTCTCTGATTTGAAATTCCTATAATGCCTATCTATTATTTTTAGTATTTTGAAAAATATATAAAACTGTTTGTTTATGAGTACAAATTGCTTCCAACAATTTTGGTTTTTGAAAAAGTGCTGTTTGATGCAGAATTTCATTGTGAGCATCTAGAGAAGTTATTAAAATTTAAAGTTCGATCTGTATCTGAAGCCTGTTTTGTGCAATATCATGTCTTTTATTAAAATAAGATTGAATACCAGGAATTCAACTATCAAAAAGCCTAGTAAATATATATTTTTTTTGTTTGGTGTATGTAAATATTATTTCTTTTTATGATCATACGGAGCAGTCTTCTATTCAGGAACAGTGTCAACCAACTCTGTCCTTACTCGGTTAGAAGTTAGCGAGCTATTCAATAAAAAAAAATGTCATTACAAGGATAGGTGGTTTAGAATTCTGGCAGTGGTATGTTCAGTATTATTCTAAATTTATTCAATGGCAGGCCAAGTCCATTTTTTTTTTTTGGTGGTTAATATTTTAATCTCTGCCCTCTGTCCTTCTGTTCAGTATTACTCTGTCTGCTTGATTTTCTTAAAAAGCTCATGATATCTTTATTGAGATTTCCTAAATTTTGGTAGTGAACAAAAGGCATTCCCCACAGCTTTTGTTTTCGAGTTCAATTTCTTATGCAGTTAGTCTGGTTATGAACATCAGAACCAATTAATAAAACAGGGAGATGTATTGATTATGCTTGTTATGCGGTTTTGGTAGTGTTAAAGCAGAAGGTTGGTTCAGGGTTCTTTAGACATGTCCTACCACTTTTACTTTAATGTCTGATTTTCTGAGCAGGAACTTCCTGAAGGTTCCAGCTGGATGTTTTAAAGGATCTGTATTCAGCTTTTTGAGCTAACTTGTATAAACATTATGATATCTAACATTAAACGAAAAAGGGATTTTCCAAATTCTTGTGGCCTGCATAAAACTTGTCTTGTCCTATGATTATTGAGCATGAGTTTCATGCACAATGAACAAAGAAATACAGGATGTGTTTCTCGTTTTGTTTTCACTTGTATTTTGCTTTGATGTTCTAATCAGTTGTCTGCATTATATGCCAGATATATGTTGTGTATTCTTGGAATAATGATGATAAAAAATATAGCTCCCTTTGGATTGAGACAATGTATTCAAAAGCTCGTTAGTTGCCTCTGAATTAAAATGCTGTGTCTGCCTCCCCATGATTCATGAGGCATTTTCCTAATTTCACTTCTGTGCGCGATTGTGTCTCCCTCTCGCCAAGCCACTATCACAAGTGCAAACAAGGAGGCACGTCCCCTGCAAAACTGAACAACTATGTTTATATCTTAATTGATTGTCTATGGTTATTCAAGTTCTTATATATTGCTGTAGTACTTTTTCTCTGTTTCTCTACTAATACATGAAACTTGAATGTTGTTGAGGACACCCTGGGTTACAACGATACATTTCATCATAGAAACAGAAACAGAAGCAGAAGCCATACTAAATGAAGAGTCCCTATTCTGTGTGGTTTTTTGTTATTACTTTTATTCTGCTGCTTCTTTAATTACTATTTCTTACTTTTTTCTGCTGATTAAACTGTATTCCTAATTTATATGCATGTCTTTTGTTTAACCTCAATTAATTAGTGGTTTTGTTTATTATGTTTGCTAGGATGTGGTTACAATCTTGTTAACTTTGTATGGGCTTTTAACCCGCATTCTTTATATGGTTAAAATTTTTATATGGATCTAGTTGCTACAAGGATTTATATATATATATATACATACATACATTTATTAGAAAAATAAAATGATTAGGGCTGAAGAAGTTTGATATATTCTAGTGGTGCCATAGTAGCAAAATATCATGTATGTGGATATCTGCATTATCATTGGATTGCATACGCGGTGTGGAATTGGCATTTGATCAGATCAAGCTGATCTTCAGTTTTTCAACTAACTGGCAAGAATAGAATTGTCTTTTTAGAAACATGAGGATAAAAAAAGAGAAAAAGTGAGCCAGCTTCTTCATACTTAATAAATTGTGATAAGTTCTACATCTTGTCAGAAAGTGTCTTGTGATTAATATTGGAAAGTTCATTAGGAAAAATGAGTGCTTTTGTCACTTATGATCTTTGAATATTTCTACTTGTTGAGCTCTGATGAATACCCGGAACTTTTCTTACTGTTTCCAGAACAAGATGTTGGAAGGTGCTGTTTTCTTGGATGGTGGTACTGACTTGGGCTCTGGTCGTCAAGTACCAGGTGAGTTTCATCACCATTAAGATACAATCCTACTTCCAAAGTTTAGATTTTACATACCGTTTATTTTTTTCATGAATTTGTCCCTAGTAACAGACTAAAGAGTTTTGTCAGTATTGTCTAGTAAGGACTCACAATGGTAAACTATATAGGCGCAAGAAATCTTTAATTTTTAGAATAAACATGTTACTTCTAAAGCCTAATTCAAAAAATGTACATCTGACATTTCTAATTTTGGTCTGAGACGTTTTCTCCCTACTGATTTCACTTTGGTGGTCTATGTGGCCTCAATGCAGCTAACCATGATGTTTTTATAATTTGACTGTTCATCTGCTACGGTGTTGGCATTGCAATGCTCTTTTGGAAACTTATATTTATGGTAATAGTTGATTTGGGACTTTCAGGAAATCCAGCAGTGAGACAAGGCAAACCAGGATCCGGAGTAGGTCTTGGATATGGCCTGCGATTTAGGTCTCCTTTTGGTCACATGCAGCTTGATTGTGCTGTCAATTCATTCCAACAGAAAACAGTCTACTTCGGCATCACCAATCTTGCTCCATAAAGGTCTTTCGCCTGAAGAAATTTGCAAATTTCATGTGTTTTCCTCACCTGAGTAAAAAGATGATCCCCGAATTGGGAGAAGGGTGGAAGGGGAGGGATGAGTTGCATAGTATAAGGATAATATTTTTCAAGCTACACTAGCCATATACACAACATTTTCTTACAAAATCAAAAGAGTATTGGAGTGTTACGTTTGCTTTGATTATTGATTATTAATTTTATTTTTTGCTAACATTTGATTCTTGACAAATGTAATATACAAATATTGTTTTCAGTAGAAGATGAATAATTTCATGAATTAACAATATTGTTTTCAGTAGAAGATGAATAATTTCATGAATTAACAAAGTATTCTTTTAATGTGAAATGTTTAATTCTGTGCACTTGTATTACTTAAACCACTAATTCATGGATGATATTCAAATTTATATCACTTGGTAAAAGTGTAAAACCACATATTATTAATGAACCACATTAAATTTGTCATTATATAAAGTATTTTTGTGTCTTGAATGAAGCGTAGATTTTGTATTTACATTATCATTGAATAAACCAGAGTCTCAGGTGACACTTATTCCTGCCTAGAATTTTGTTTTTCCTTTGTAAATTGAAGAATCAGTTTAATGATTAATTAGATAATTCTATGAACTTTATACGTCTAGAACTAGAAGAAGGATTTAATAATTTATTTTAAAAAAAAAAAAGATTAATTAGGTGGGACATCATATGGTTACAAAAATTCAATAATACTATGTTTACTCACGAACTTATTGACTAGCTTACTAACTTTTTTAAATATAAAACATAATACGGGTATCATAAATATAATACATATATTATATATAATTTTAACAAAGGTGAATAAAATAGTTAATAAATTTGTGAGTAAATATAATATTATTGTATAAAATTAAGCATAATATATGTACTATATATAATTTTAATAAATGTAAATAAAGTGATTAATAAATTCATAAAATGATTAATAATTTCGTAAATAAGCACACTATTATTGTACAAAAATTACATGCTTGAGCCAGAGGTGAAAGCCACCTCAACAACCCCAACTAATAAAATTTGAAACCTCGTATTCTTTTGTTACTAATAATTTATTAAAATAATTCAACTTTATTAGTTCCCACCTAACCTCCAGTGTCAGCGTTTCATTGGTCGGCGGTTAGTTTTTTTTTTCTTTTCTTTTTAAATTACAAAATTGCTCTCGCTCTCTCTCTCTCTCTGGCACAGAGAGAGAGAGAGAGAGAGAGAACATAGTAAATCAAGCTTTTCTGAATGAATACAAAATGATCCCACTGTAGAAAGCGTATTTTGTGTGATTGAAATTTAACTTTTCATGTAATTACATGTATTTCGGTTTTACTGTTTTCATTTTTGGTGTATTCTCTATATTACAAAAACACTCCAACAATACCTATATTTATAACCCAAATTTCGACATCTAAAATATTAGTTTTATGTAGCTTCAAATTAATCAATTTCTTTTTTTTTTTTTGAAAGAAGTCATAAAAGAACATGTTTCAATCATTTTGAATCTTGAATATCAAAAGAAATAATTTAAAAAAAGAGTAATACTATACTTACAAAGAAATTTTACAAAGATTTCAATATAAAGTGATGTGGCAAAAAATGAATGGAAGAGTGAATTTAATGAGTTTGACTTTTTGTTTCACTCTTCTATTTATTTTTTGCCACCTCACTTTGTATATAAATCTTTGTAAAATTTCTTTGTAAGTATAGTATTATTATTTAAAAAAAAACAACTATATATTATTGACTCTATTTGCTACTAAAAAAACACTTAAAAGTATATTTACATTAAAATTCTCATAATTTTTTTTTTTGCACATAAAATAATTTACGTAAATTATTGCCGCCCGAAATTGAAAGGCTACAGAAAATTAAATTAACTTCTTTTAAACAAAAAAAAAAAAAAAATCCAAATAACTATTAATTAAATTTACATTCAAATGAATAAAAAGTTAAAAGTAAAATTTACCTAAATATTTTTAACTGTTCGTCAATATTGGCTATTGGTCATACTTGCTATGTGTTATTACTACAATGAATATCTTCTATTTTATTACTATTATTTGAAAAGTATACCCTTATTGATAATTCTCCCTTTTTATTAATAAAGTTTTTAGATATAATTTTTTAGAAAATAATAAAACTTTATTACACTTTTTTGTTTCCCCAAAATATTGTAAGTGGATCTAAATGATCAATCTGGGAACTATTGTTTTAGGCTTGCCAAGATGTTGAAGACATTAAATGGATGACAAATTTTACAAAACTAATATTTTCCCGACAAAGTTCAATAATCTCAACTATCATTCTTTAATATTTTATAGAACGACCAATAATAAATTAGACTGAAATTTTCTTTAGAATAAAAATAACAAAAGAGCCTTCATTTCAACTAGGGCTGTTAACAAGCCGAGCCGAGCCGAGCCGAGCTTTTAGCTTAACGAGCTCGGCTCGTGAAAAGAAAGAAAAATGCGACCGAGTCCGAGCCTCTAATTTCTTGATCGACTCGATTCGTAAAAAGAAAAAAAGTTCGATCCTGGTCGCGAGCCAGCTTAACAAGCTGAGTTAAAGCCGAGTTAGAGCAGACTTGTGAGCCCGCAAAAACATGCAATTTTTTTTTTAGATTCGGTGCAGATTTCTCTCTCCCATTTATTGCTCTTCTCATTCACTTCTTTTCCCTTCTATTTATTATTTGATTTGTTTTCTTTCTTTTCTCTCTCTCCATACTCCAATGGCTCACCTTTTTTTTTTTTTGGTTGTTCCTTTCTTTCTTTCTCCCCGTTTCCCTTGCTCTCTCCAGTCTCCACCAACTTTGAAGTTATTCTCTTCCTCTTCTCTTTTGTTACTTATTACTCTTTGCTTTCTCTTTTTTTTTTCTCTCTCTAATGACACTTGTTTCTCCTATTTTCTCTTTCTTTCCTTCTTTCTCCTTTTTTCCTATTTTCTCTTTCTTTCTTTCATTCTTTCTCCTTGTTTCCCCTGCACTCTCCACCAACTCTGATTTCTTTCCTTCTTTCTCCTTGTTTCCCTACACTCTCCACCAAATCTGACGCCAACAACTTGCCTAAAATGGTTTGGTTTGGTTTTAGGGGAAAGGATTTTAGTCGCGTTTTTAGGGATTTTAACATCAAGGTGTTCTTTGTCATTTTTGCAAACTTTTTGTTTTAAAAATTTTAGTTTAATACTCTATACTTAATAAAACCCTTAAAACACCCCTAATAATTCGAGCCTAGCTCAGCTCGCGAGCCTAACGAGCCGAGCTGAGCCGAGGCAGACTCAAACTCGGCTCGTGCTCTCTCACAAATCAAGCCGAGCCGGCTCGATTCTAGACGAGGCGAGCTGTTAACGAGCCGAGCCGAGTCGGCTCGTGAGCGTGTCGCCTCGTTGAACAGCCTTAGCCTTCAATATCAATATGTATAAGCAACATAATGGCCATCAGCTTTGCTTAGCTTCAAATGAGTCAAATCTTTTTTTCATTTTAGAAATATAAAAAATAAAAAACAAAAGAATGCCCGTTAATTATTTTGAATTTAATATTTAAAGACCGTAGTTACAGCTAGGGGTGCAGTCGAGCCGAGCCGAGTAGTGGTTGGCTTAAGCTCGGCTCGGATGTATTGGTAGGAGGCTTGAGCTCAACGAGCTTTGGCACACGAGCTTGAGCTCGACTCGTTTAAGAAAATGAATGGTTCGAGCTCGGCTTGGCTCGGCTCGATTATTCAGTTATTATATAAGAATTTAAGAAAACGACATCGTTCATCTTGAACTTAACCCACCTTCTTCTTCTTCCACTGCCCCTCCCACTAACTTATCAATCGATGCTGAAGAATCCACTGAGACCAAAATCCAATGCCTCATCTCAGAACATTTTTCTGATTTCTATATATATTAAATTTGGGTTGTTAATTTGTTAAGTGGGTCTTTTATTATTCTTCTGTAAGCGAGCATAAAACTAGGAAAAGAAAAAGTGTTAATGATTATCTTTGTTTTTGGGTTTAGTGTTCAAAATATTGAAAACAAGTTGAAGCTGCAATCGACGATGGCTGATGTTGCGGTGTGAAGAAGTGAAGATGACGGTGGTGGAGGTGGAGGTGAAATAAGGTTAAAGGGAAAATGTCTCTGTTTTAGGGATTTTACGGCGTGCAGGTGAAATAAAGTTGAAGGGTAAACGAAGGCTAGTCGTTGAACGATAGTAGCTAAATGAAGGCTGGACAACGGTGGCGTCTTAGATCTTGCGGTGTGAATTGGTAGAGGTGAAATACAGTTGAAGGGAAAATGTCTCTATTTCAGGGATTTTACGGCCGAATGTCCTTGTTTCAGATTTTAGGGCAAATTTGAATACGCGAGTTGAAACAAATTGATCGATCTCACGAGCTCTCCTACTTGAATGATGTCTCGAGTTTCTCAAAAGTTTGCGAGCAGTTTGAATTGAACCCGAAAAGCTCAACATTATTCACGAGCTTGAAGATAAGCTCGAACTCTTGAACTACTCGATTTTCTACGAGTCGAGCCTGAGTTCGTCATGAGTCGATCCCAAATAGCTAACGAGCTACTCGATTCGACTGCACCCCTAGTTACAGCTGATAAAATGTTGTTATTATCATGTTTTTACATCTACCGATTTAATTAATTTATTTAGCATATTTATCAAAATGTAGAAAGTAATTTATTGGAGGAACAAAACTTTTGATATGTCAACAATTGAGGGTGGATGATGGCACTTTCCCAGACAACAACATGCTAAAATTATTCCCAAAGTTCGGCAGGTGCGGTTGATAATGAAGTGGGCCACCCAATGGGTCCATTTAAAGGGAAAAAGTCAAATATCCCGGCAATCATAAAGGGGTTGTGGCCCATCATTTATGTACATGCTCTTGTATTCTACTTACATTCAATACCCCACTTAATAATCATCAATGCTCAGGCTACTTTAATATATACGCATCAGTAGTTACACAGAAGAATCCATAGGCATAGCAGGCTAATATTATTAAGAAAAACCAGCAAATAAATAATAGAAACATGAAGACAGTTTTAAAATAAAAAATATATTCACATATTTAATTACATCCGTACGCATCTCCTACAACAAATTTAATTCTCTAATAAAACAGGCGGCTTTATGATAGCAAATAAAGGAGCTTTCACAATCACAATCACCAGCCAAGTGGTTAACCAACACCAACAAATCTGGGAACTATTGTTTTAGGCTTGCCAAGATGTTGAAGACATTAAATGGATGACAAATTTTACAAAACTAATATTTTCCCGACAGAGTTCAATAATCTCAACTATCATTCTTTAATATTTTATAGAACGACCAATAATAAATTAGACTGAAATTTTCTTTAGAATAAAAACAACAAAAGACCCTTCATTTCAACTAGGGCTGTTAATGAGCTCGGCTCATGAAAAGGAAAAAGAATTCGAGCTGAGTCCGAGTTGAGCCGAACCTCTAATTTTTTGACTCGGCTCGAATCGTAAAGAGAGAAAAAGATTTCCTTGCGAGCCAGCTTAACAAGCCGAGTTAGAGCCGGCTCGCAAGCAGCAAAAAACATGCAATTTTTTTTTTAAAAATTCGTTGTAGATTTTCTTTCTCTCATTTATTACTCTTTCTCTTTCACTTCTTTTCCCCTCTAATTTATTATTTGATTTGCTTTCTTTTCTTTTCTCTCTCTCCAAACTCCAATGGCTCATGTTTTTTTTTTTTTTTTTCCTTTCTTTCTTTCTCCCTGTTTCCCTTGCTCTCTCCCGTCTCCACCAACTCTGAAGTTATTCTCTTCCTCTTTTCTTTTGTTACTTATTACTCTTTGCTTTCTCTTCTTTTCTCTCTCTCTCTAATAAGGCATGTTTCTCCTATTTTCTCTTTCTCTTCTTCTCTCGCTCTCTCTCTCTCTCTCTCTCTCTCTCTCTCTCTCTCTCTCTCTCTCTCTCTCTAATGAGGCATGTTTCTCCTATTTTCTCTTTCTTTCCTTCTTTCTCCTTTTTTCCTATTTTCTCTTTATTTCTTTCATTCTTTCTCCTTGTTTCCCTTGGACTCTCCACTAACTCTGATTTCTTTCCTTCTTTCCCATTGTTTCCCTGCACTCTCCACCAAATCTAACGCCGACAACTTGCATAAAATGGTTTGGTTTGGTTTTAGGGGAAAGGATTTTAGTCACGTTTTTAGGGATTTTAACATCGGGGTGTTCTTTGTCATTTTTGCAAACTTTTTGTTTTAAAAATTTTAGTTTAATCCCCTATACTTAATAAAACCCCTAAAACACCCCTAATAATTCGAGCCTAGCTAGAACTCAGCTCGTGCTGTCTCACGTCGGCTCGATTCCAGACAAGGCGAGTGTTAACGAGCCGAGTCGAGTCGACTCACGAGCGGCTCGCCTCGTTGAGCAACCCTAGCCTTCAATATCAATATGTATAAGCAACATCATGGCCATCAGCTTTGCTTAGCTTCAAATGAGTCAAATCTTTTTTTCATTTTAGAAATATAAAAAATAAAAAACAAAAGAATGCACGTTAATTATTTTGAATTTAATATTTAAAGACCGTAGTTACAACTAGAGGTGCAGTCAAGCCGAGTAGTGGCTAGCTCGAGCTTGGCTCGGATGTATTGGTAGAGGCTCGAGCTCAGCTCGAGTTCGACGAGCTTTGGCACACGAGCTCGAGCTCGGCTCATTTAAGAAAATGAATGGCTCGAGCTCGGCTCGGCTTGGCTCGATTATTCAATTATTATATAAGAATTTAAGAAAACGACATCGTTCATCTTGAACTTAACCCACCTTCTCCTTCTTCCACCGCCCCTCCCACTAACTTATCAATCGATGCTGAAGAATCCACTGAGACCAAAATCTAACGCCTCATCTCTGAACATTTTTCTGATTTATTATTCTTCCTTAAGCGAGCATAAAACTAGGAAAAGAAGAAGTGTTAATGATTATCTTTGTTTTTGGGTTTAGTTTTCAAAATACTGAAAACAAGTTGAAGCTGCAATCGACGGTGGTTGATGTTACTGTGTGAAGAAGTGAAGATGATGGTGGTGGAGGTGGAGGTGGAGGTGAAATAAGGTTAAACGAAAAATGTCTTTGTTTTAGGGATTTTACGGCGCACAGGTGAAATAAAGTTAAAGGGTAAATGAAGGTTGGTCGCTGGACGGTAGTAGCTAAATGAAGGCTGGACAACGGTGGCGTCTCAGATCTTGTGGTGTGATTTGGCGGAGGTGAAATACGATTGAAGGGAAAATGTCTCTGTTTCAGGGATTTTACGACCGAATGTCTTTGTTTGAGATTTTAGGGCAAATATGAATACGCGAGCTTAAACAAATCGATCGATCTCACGAGCTCTCCTACTCGAATGACGTCTCAAGTTTCTCAAAAGTTTCGAGTAGTTCAAGTCGAGCTCGAAAAGCTCGACATTTTTCACGAGCTTGAAGATAAACTCGAACTCCTGAACTACTCGATTTTCTACGAGTCGAGCCTGAGTTTGTCACGAGTCGATCCCAAGTAGCTCACGAGCTACTTGGTTCTACTGCACCCCTAGCTGCTGATAAAATGCTATTATTATCATGTTTTTACATCTACCAATTTAACTAATTTATTTAGCATATTTATCAAAATGTAGAAAGTAATTTATTGGAGGAACAAAACATTTGATATGTCAACAATTGAGGGTGGATGATGGCACTTTCCCAGACAACAACATGCTAAAATTATTCCCAAAGTTAGGCAGGTGCGGTTGATAATGAAGTGGGCCACCCAATGGGTCCATTAAAAGGGCAAAAGTCAAATATCCCGGCAATCATAAAGGGGTTGTGGCCCATCATTTATGTACATGCTTTTGTATTCTACTTACATTCAATATCCCACTTAATAATCATCAATGCTCAGGCTACTTAATACATACGCATCAGTAGTTACACAGAAGAATCCATAGGCATAGCAGGCTAATATTATTAAGAAAAACCAGCAAATAAATAATAGAAACATGAAGACAGTTTTAAAATTAAAAATATATTCACATATTTAATTACATCCGTACGCATCTCCAACAACAAATTTAATTCTCTAATAAAACAGGCGGCTTTATAATAGCAAATAAAGGAGCTTTCACAATCACAATCACCAGCTAAGTGGTTAACCCACACCAACCTATTTACTACTTTTACCCATTCACGTGATGTGATGTGATGCAATGCAAAATTCAACTGTCGGCAGCTCAAATTAACATATCACCAAACAAAGAAAATCCAGCCCAACATAAACTTCCATGTTTCTTTCATTATATAATCATTTTATGTAAACGGCTATGAGATTCTTAGGTTGAAATTGTCCCTAGATTCTTATAGTAACTCATTGGACAACAAATATCCACAAAAATTGAAATAGAGCATTAAGATTACATACCCAAATTCAGAAAGAAATTCCAAAAAGGAGCCTGATTTAGCCCAGCTTCTTCTTCATTTTTACTCTCAAACCATCACTTTTCTCTCACATTTGTACTACTGTACCACTTTTGCCCACATTTTAGTACATCACATTTTATTAATTTTTCATACAATAATATGTACAAATAATCACAAAACAAAAAGACAAAATCCACTTCTTCCTACTACACTTGCCATCACTATTTGTTACACAATCAAATCAAATTAAAGCTTTAACAAAACTACCTGTTTTATGCTTCCACTAATATCTCTTTTCAATCCCTTGTATGTAAATAGACTCTAAAGTTTGGAGCTTTGGGGTTGGTAGGTTGTGGGCACTTTACGCCTCTTCAAAACCATATTCCCCTCTTAATTTACTCCAACAATCTCTCCATTTACATTTTCTCAAAACTCTTTTTCATTTTTCCTCCTGCAAAAAGTAAATCAATGAATCAACTAAAGTTGCAAGTGGTAAACAAAAATATACATGGTGCCAATTTGACATCAAAAGAACAAGAAACACAGCAAGCAATTTCTTTAGGCATAATAGTTGCATTGCGTAATATTCCAGATAAAACAAAATGTTGCATTGGACAATAAAGATACTTCTTTAAGGAACAAAGATGTGTCGGTCACAAACGGAACATGCTTATAACACAAGCCAACCAAGGCTTTTAATTTCCATTTGAAAAAATAATCTTCACTATCTCAGATTCAATGAACTCCCACCAAATTCAAAGCCTTCCCCAAAATAGAGCACAAAGAGAGCGTTTGGGTGTAAACATATTTCTGTAAAAGTAAAGCTCATTCGAAGAACACCTATCGAGTGCTTTTCACGAAAGCACTGCAAATCATTTTTCAATCTTCGAAAACACTTTTGTCCATTCATAACAATATCATATAAATATATAAGTGTTTTTGACATTTACTACTGACTTTTAAAACCACTACCAAACGTACCATTAGAAAACATTAAAAAGATACAAACTTACGAAAAGAATCTTCTCCTATAAAGTTAACTTCTTAATTCAACAAGGTAACAAAATCTCTTAAAAAAAAAAAAAAAAAAAAAATTACATTTATAAAGAAAAAGGTTCAATTAAATACTGAAAATTCGCTCACAATTCTTGAATTCAACTTCGGTGTGCTGTGATAAACCTCAAAAAATCATGACGACTAGCTGAAAGCACCACCTACTCTTTACAATCTCCACCACCCACAACAACGCTTTAATAAAACACCCCAAGAAGAGGACACCAATACATCATTTCTAGGTAGTTGCATCTGTAAAACAAATGTAGATAAAATTCCCATTTCACCAAGTTTACCTAAAGTTCAGAGTTTTGATACCGCTGTAATGGTACAACATAAACTATTTCTTCTAGCATGAAGCATCACATTTCTAACATGAAACTTCTGTTAAAAGTGCTACATTTCACGTTTAAAAATATGTCTAGTTAACATTCCCATTTTCCTTAAAATCTAACCTATAATTGATCCTTCACTTCTTCCTAACTTAACTTACAATCCTTCGCCAACTATAACTCTGCACTCATTAACTCACCCAGTCGACTCACAATTGCAGATAATGAAGTGCCAGAAAGAAGTAAAAAAATTAATTAACTCACCAGGAACAACTCTTGATCTTGATCAGTCCCTGAAAATGACTGGATCTGCAATTTTCATCAACGGTCTCAAACAATCCGGCGAGAATTTTCTCGCAAACAAGTAAGACTCCGAATGATTCGACTCCCTCAACTGATGAATAAGCTGCGGTGATACTTCATTGGGCCTGTACGTGTATGGGTGGCCGTTGGTGGTCCCGGTCCAATTGACCCGAGTGACCGTGTAATGGGTACACCCATTCGGATCCTGCATTGATAACAAAGTCGGAAAATAATGCTCTTCTGGATAACACTCATCCGACCTGTAACACGGTTTCTTAAATTTCTTCCAAAGCTTCCGATCTTTAATTACCACAAGCGCGTGCTTACGTGTCAAAACAAAAAACTGAGATCCAACCCTAAACCGATCGAACGGCACTTCCGGCGTCATCGCGTACCGCCCACGCGCAATGTACCGCTTCCATAACCGTGGATCTTTCGAGATTATCTCGATAAAACTCTTGTACCGAATTCGGACTCCGAACGCGGTGGTTGACTCAGGCGACGACGAGTAATCAAAGGTTCTAGAAGTGAACAGCGAGTTGTAAACATACCGAAACGAATGCAGAGGGATGCAGTGCTGCGAGACGAGCGCGAAGAACGCGTTGGCCGGGTCGTCGAGGATGGCAGTAGCGAGAAGCCGACGCGCGGCGGAGACGAGTGTAGGCGACGCGCGGTAAGTGCGTTTAGAACTAATAAATTTATCGGCAAAGACACCCGATGGAGAAGTGATATTAACAGAAGGATCGGCGTGGATGTAAATGTTGTAAAGATTTTTGTTAGATTTCTTAAAGAAACGGTTCCAGAGAGGGGAGAAATGGAGGTCAGAGTTGGTGAGGAAAAGAAAAGCGATCTTGAGTTTAGGGTTAGAAGAGGACAAATGAGAGCGGGAAAGAGAGGAGGAAGAGGCAGCGCGATTGAAGAGAGAGAGGTCGTCGAGTTCGTCGGGGAGAGGAATCGGCGGGAGAGAAGAGTGAGGGGAGAAGATACGGGGGGCCAGGAGGAAGAGAATTGGGAGGGAAAGGAGGAGAGAAAAGGAGAGAACAAATGGGGTGGAGAACATTGAGAAGTTGAGAGGCGCAATTTTTGAATCAGGGTTAGGGTTTGGAGTGTGGTGGGGGGGGGGGGGGGGGAGGAAGAAGATGAAGATGGAGGTGAAATGGTGAATGGTGGTGAGTGTGTGACAGAAGAGGCTTGGTTTTGTTTTGGGTTTTGAAAAATTTCGTCCACCGTACAACCAAGGGTTTTGGATAATAACAAATGCACCCAAAAAATTGATTACTTGACTGACCAACAAATACCTTTTTTATCTAATTATATTTTCTTTTCAATTTATGGTTATGGTTATGGTTATGGTTATGGTTACGGTTGTTATGTTTAACGGAGGGGATGGGGATCTAGAAGCCTTGGCACTCATACACATACAATACAAGTCGTACCTCTGAATTTTCAAAACCAATAGCAGAAAGCAGTTAAGCTATACCAAAGTAAATATTTATTCGCGTAAGAGAAATATTTATTTGAATAACGCAGAAGACTTCACGAAGGCATACATGATGGGAAGTTTTTCAAAGTAAAAATTGAAAGATTTAAAATCTAGAATGCATTAAAAAATGGAATTTACGTTAAGTCAAATGTGCATATATGTCCAAATTACAAGATGGCATTGAATACAATAAAACACGTGATAAGGTAGTATCATCATGTAAGTGTCGAGACTGAAGTTGAAAATATATCACAACATAATCTTATGATTTTATTTAACGTCTTAGAGGCCTTGGTATACAAAATCCAACTCTAACATAACAAAAATTCAACCTCTTAGCATAAGCAATGCCCTTATCCGTACAGAGTTTGCTTATTGCCTTTTAGCCGTAATTATTCATTTCTTATATCTTATTTTGTAGATGTTGAATTCTAACTGTTTGTTTTTTTGTCATCCTTCAACTGTTGCCAAACTCAATAAAATCTTTTAATACCTGCTCCGACCCGCCTCATGTAATATATCCTAATAATTATTACATTTTAAAATTATAAACCCTAATAATTATTACATTTTCTAAAATAAATCAATTCAAATCTAAATTACACTTTAACACAAATAAATAAATAAATCCAAATCCCAATATCAAGTCATAAATAAAATAAATTCAAAATCAAATTAACAATATAACATAAATAAATTAAATCCAAATCCGTTTCAATTTCAAACGTTGATTTCCAGCATTAGAGCCAGAGGTAATATTTGCTTCACCCAATTATATTGAATCCATCCTTAATTGGACTTTCACCCCATCATTTAACTCATTATCATCTTCATGTACAAAAATTTCAGCAAAAAATGAAAATCATAAGTTAAAACTTCTAATTTTAAACTTATTTAATTTAAAATAGCAATCAAATTACTTCAAAATTCTTATGTTGAATCATAATAATAAGGGCGATCACCAACACCAACAGGAATAGATCCTTCTCTTTAAATTGTTTGTTCTAATTCATCATAGTTAAGTTCATCAACCTCCTCTTCATTGTCAACTATCCAAAATTCATTTTTATTGACAATTTCATAATCAATAAGATCAAAACTCTTTTTCTTGTACCATAATTAAATATTAAAAGCATGACAAATAAAAATACCAAAGAAAATAAGAGACAATAAGAAAAAGACTAATGCATAATTGTCAATGTTTTATACCTATTTTGCAAACGCAAGTTATAATGAACAAAAACAAGATCATTAAACCGTTGATGCTCAAATCTATTGATTTGGCTAGAAATGACCCGAATAGATCTGATCGTTTCTAGCCAGATCCACGATTATCTGGTTATTTCTGACTATTGATCTAGTCGGAAACAACCAGATCGGTGCACGACTGGCTAGATCCAACTAGTTGTGCATCATTTTAGTGATTGTCGGCATTGGTGGCGGGCAATAACTTAGGGTGGGTGTGGCTGATTGTGTTAGAAATTAAACTTTTATGTGGCTAGGGTACTTTAGTAAAATCTCTAATGTAAGGGGTTAAAAGCAACGGATTCAAAAAATAATATTATATTAATATTTAAAAACAAGGACAATTTAGTAATCTAGATAATATACTCACAAATTTATTCCTCCCAACCAAGCATATCCATATTAATACTCACGAATTTATTCTAATTTAACCAAACACATTTCCTTAAACATTCATAGTAATTTTTAAAGTAATATATTTTTCTATTAATATAACATTCCCAGTAATATAACATTCTCTGAATCAAATGTACCCTAAATAGTATCTGATGCTTGCTACTTTTATTCATGATTTGTTTAAATAGAATTGAAATACAACTTCTTCCTAAAGAAGCAATTACCAAAATACATAAAAACAAGTAAAGGATTAATTGATTAATTCTAACTTATTGAAACTAAGACGTGAGTTAAACTTCATAAATGTAATTAAAAGTTTTTATGGTACACCTTATAGTCGATAATTAAAAGTATCCATGGTACATATCACTATAATGTTATAGTTTGTACTTCGTAGAGAAAAATTATGATATTAAGAAAATATTACTGACGTGGTACGATATAACAAAAACCAATTACATATAAAGATAGATAAAAAGAAAAAATTAAGAGATGACCTAAATTCACTTGATAGTGGTGTAAATAATGCGGTTCCTTATAATATTCTAGAATTTTTCTTAATCCACCCATTTGAGAGAAGAAAGAATAGAGGAATATGTACCTAGGATCAGTTCCTTTCCCAATTGCAACTTCATAAAATTTATATAATTTGAAGAGCTAAATAATGAAGCTTATTTTTATTTTTATTTGGTCCTATTTGTTTATCGGCGCTTAGCAAAACAATCTGAATATGCAGACAAGAAAACGAAGAAAATCACCAGTAATGACAATTTCAGTCTTCAGCCAATTTCATAATCAACCCTGGACATGTTTCTGCCCAATCCCTGCAAAATTTGGATAAAACCTATGTTAACAAAAGTGAAATTAATCAACTTTCTAAGATCTCTTTTATGGGGCATTTGGTTGGAGAGGTAATGTGAGATTACTATAATTATGTTATTTTATATTATTTGATTACCATATTTGGTTGTCAAGTGATATAAGATTCTAGTAATATTTAAATACCAATAGTATTTACTGTTAGTAATATTGGAGGTAATCTGATTACTTCTATTTTCTTAGGTATTGTAAGATTATCAGGGTAATTTTTTTTTTTTTTACAATTCTATCCCTTATTAATAAAATTTTAAGACAATAATGCCTTTATTTTTAAATTTATTTGCATGAATATTCTTTTACTATTTCACCCAAATTAATTAACTTTTTAGACAAAATTACCCTTGAATTCAAAATAAATTGCAACCTACCCTAGTAATGTGAGATTACTAGGGTTATGTTATCTTATAGCACTTAATTACCACGTTTGGTTGTCAAGTAATATAAGATTCCAATAATCTTTAAATACCAATAGTATTTACTGTTAGTAATATTAGAAGTAATCTGATTACCTCCATTTTCTTAGGTATTGTAAGATGGGTAATTTTTTTTTGTTACAATTTTATCCCTTATTAATAAAATTTTAAGACAATAATACCCTCATTTTTAAATTTATTTACATGAATGTTGTTTTTACTATTTCACCCAAATTAGTTAATTTTTTAGACAAAATTACCTTTGAATTCAAAACAAATTACAGCCCACCCTAGTAATATGAGATTACTAGGGTTATGTCATCTTATATTACTTAATTACTATGTTTGATTGTTAAGTAATATAAGATTTCAGTAATATTTAAATACCAATAGTATTTATTGTTAGTAATATTGAAAGTAATCTGATTACTTCCATTTTCTTAGGTATTGTAAGATTACCAGGGTAATTTTTTTTTTTTTTTTTTTTGTTACAATTCTAATAAAACATACCCACTAATTTATTCCAACTAACCAAACACATTTTCCTAAAGATTTTCGGTAATCTAACTTTCTAGTAATCCAACATTCCCAGTAATCCGATATTCCCTTAACCAAATGCACCCTTTAGTTGTACACCAACCAACCTAAGAATTTTAGTATCTGCGGAGAGAGATAACCGTTGAAATAGATACGAAAAATGAAATAAAATTGAATATGAAAATAATTAGGAAATCCATTAAGCCATATAGAAGATGAGTAAGATTTCTTCAAACTTGAAAATAAATGCGCATCCCGAAAAAACCAAAAAAAAAAAAAATTCAGAAAGAATAAAAAAATACATTAACTTGTATAGAGTTCAATCCACCAGACACTGGCGATTACTAATTACAAATCCTCTCAACCCAGGATTCTTTTACCAATACTTAATCTCATCTATTATGTATAATCCCATCACAAGAACAAATACATGATCGTTGAGAAGCTGATAATGGAGAAAAGAAAACCCAGAAAGACATTAATCTGAAACAACAGCTGCTCCGGAAATAATTCATTTGAAAATAAATAATATATAATCACATAATTAACACATAAATGAAAGATGAATACAAGTCACATTATATCTGCTAATCTTATTCTGGGACATGTCCGGCGACTCTCCACAACCCTCCCACTGTGAAACCAACTCTGCTATGGTAAAACCACCGATTTCTTGAATGGAATATATGCAATGTGATTTCACCCACCTCGTAATGTGACTCTATCTATACATATGGAAACAGGAGTACCTGAATGGATTCGCTACAGATCAACAGACACCGGAACAGATTTTGTCGGGTTTGAATCTCCTTTTCCATTAGTCTTGGATTTACTATTGATGGGTTTATGAGAGCCTGGTGTCACTTTAGCAGCAGATCTTACAACCCTTTTTGTCTGAGTCCCATGAGCCCCGGCCGCTAAAAGCAAATCAAGTAGAGTGTTTTAATAAAATGCACAATATTTCATGGACATAAACAATTCATGTATATGACAGGTCATATTATTATCATCCAATGTTAAGTTGCACAACGGATACTGGACAAGTGCTTTGGAAAATTGAAAACTAAATTTTGTCACTGTTTGACACAGAACTTGATAGAAAGTTGCGGAAAATAAATGAGTATCTAGCTGAAGAATAAAATAATGAAATAATTGTTTTGTGTCGGGAATTTTTTGTCCTAAATATTTAATAATCTGATGCAGATATTCTCATGCTTGGGATTCAGATCGACCTCATTTTACCTAGTCTAGTGTGAAAAAGAAACCCTTAATATAACTGATGACTGGGACAGAAAATAGCACTGTGGTCCTTTTTCCGCTTTCAACTATATTCCTCCAAATAAATGATCTGGAGGATCGAATGTCTATAGGGGAGAGAGAAAGAGAGTCTGTAAACCTACCATTGTTAGGAAGAGACAAGCGCTTCTTTCCTGGTTTATCTGATTGAGTGGATCTCTCTTTTGGATTGCTGTGGGATCTGGCACCAACGCCAGCAGGCCTTGAGTTGACTTCTTCAATTAGATCTTCAAGAGGTGGCTTGGACTTTGGCTTGGCAAACTGTGTTGTGGATGCCTCTAGCATGCCCACTGATATACCAGGAGAACTACTCCCTTCAGACTGAGATGGAACTGTTTTCTGACTTAAAAGGTTGGAGTGAAGATTTGATGAAAGCGGTTTCTTGCCAGAAGATTTTATCTGAGATTTGGAGCCATTGTTAGTCTCAGCAGATTCATTCTCACGTATCATTACTCCATCTTTAAGATTAATGTCAAGAAAGCGATTTTCCCAGGGACGGACAGCCATCCATCTCTCCAACCAATTCCATCCCCAGCTGCTTTTATCAGGTTCAAATCCAGAAGGAGCAGACTGCTGTCTTGAGCCTGCCTGCCACTGAAGGAACAAACATTGATCTTACAAACAAGCCTGCTGGGGAATGCCAACCCCTGGAGATTATTCTGGGACATATAATAGGCAGGCAACTGATATAGCAAATAGTAGCCAGACTTGAACAGAAACTTAAAATCATCTTAATTTAGCACTTGACACTAATCCCAACAAGAGATTAAAAAAATAGAATGATAAAAAGGGTGAATAAGAGCCGACTAAAGACATTAAAAGTGTGCATGTACAACACTCCAAAAAATTCATGGAAAAGGAAGCTTATTTACTATGCCGAGGTACAAATATAAAGTTATGAACCCTCCCCTGTAGATATCTATAACTCCTTTTAGGAAAATCAATCAATTATATCATAACAAAATTTGCTTCTTCATAAACCCACAATGGGAGCAAAAAAATTTACCTGGTGAGCAAGAGCATATGCCATGGCTCTCTCACGCTTAGCAGCAGCCTCCTGCCTCTTGAGCAACTTGGCTTGAATTTCTTCAACTGATCCTACACTGTCACACCATCCTTCCTGCATTAAATCAGATTCAAACTGATATGAGCACTCTGAGTAAAAGGGAATTCAACTAGCTAATATAGCGGGTGAGGAAGCAACTGTAAAATTTTCTAACCATTAATGTGTAATAATAATGCTGTAACACCAGGAATGCTATGTAATTGTAATATAGTTTCTTCTATAAATAGCAATAGCAATTCAGTACTCCTTTCCTCTTATCATAAGAGGAATCACCAACTTCAAATACAGTAAATAAAAAACATCAAGATTGACTATACAAGTCCATATGGAATCCAAAAGTCTTAACTCTTCATATGTATCATAGGTTCCAGCTTATTAGGACTGCCATATCCTAGTTATTTATTCACATCTACCGTATTCATTCAGTTTGGCACTCCAGCAATGCAGATAACATATCTTCATGCAAGAGAAATATCCATTGGGAAAATAGGGAAGATGGCAAGTTCCCACTGCACCCAAAGAAATCCAACAAAGGAAACAGCTAAGAACTGTATGACTGTAAACTATTTTAAGTTGCTTACCTCTATTTCTCGAACACGAGCCTCATTCGCAAGTTGTTGCTGAAGTTTATGTTGTGCTGTTTGACTTTCCAATGCCAATCGAACACGCCTTGCTCGGACACGGGCCTGAACTCTTACTAAAGCTTGCATGCAGCGAAGAGTTATTGCAGCTTGTTTTCTCACTGCATGACCTCTGACAAGGGCTTGAAGTCTCACTAACCCTTTCAATGCTCTTAAAGCCCTTCTAGCCTGATATGTATCATTAAGACAACTTAGTCAGATCAGAACTGCCAGGCTGAAAAGAACTTGAAAGATATGGATATCAAATTATTAAACTAGACAGGGCATAGGTGCATAATATACAGCTGTTCTCTGACAAGTACACATAACATCAGGAAAAAAATAAAAATTGTGTTGCTCCAGGCAGATGAATGTTTGCTCCTGAAATATTATGAGAGGCTTTTAGTTTTTATATTTTATTATTTCATCAGCAAATGACAATAGATGACTTTAGTAAGCAGAAGCAGCATGCAGCTCAATTTAGAGTAAAAAAGGAACTCAACTCAAAGTAGCATAGAACTTTAGCATCTGAGTACAGTTTGGAGAGAAGTCACAAGATGTAGTGAGATAACATCAAATATTTTTAGAGAAGCAGCCCCTAAATCTTTTAGTCATTGCATGATCTTAATATAGGACAGGCAGCAACATTGTCTTTTCCAACTAGAATACCATATTCGCTTAACAGAACCTTTGATAGTTCACTTACCCAACCAAATCTAATTCAACAATTTAGAAATGGACCACTAGGTGCTACATGCTCTCACAAGAACCTAGAAACACATGTAAAATTTAAAGTTCATTTTAGTTGGTTTCACAAATGTGTTTGCCAATATAATGTTAAATAAGCCTCATTTATATTTTCTTATTTAACTTGGTAAAAGCAATAAATTTATACCTCACTTTAAGGTCACAACAAGGTATGCTGGAAATAATTGCACATAAAAAATTGTCTAAGCTATGTTACACAGTCAAAATATAGTCACAGCCTGGCTTTATGATTTGCAATTTGTTTATAAAAAAAGACACTTAACCAGGCTAGCATGGGTCTGCAACCTACTCCGTCAAGTCTTATTAGCCAAAATAAGAGATTATGGTGTGTTTTGGTGGATAGGAAAAAAATATGATTGGATAATTTCAAAAGTTGATAATTCCTTTTTTTTTTTTTGGCAACACAAGGGGATAATATAAGTTATCTCAGGTCCATAAATTTATCCCATCTACATGGAATATCTAAGTCTAATTCCATGAAAAGTCATGGGATTAGCTTATTCCATGTTTATGAGACTAAATTTTTGGACGTGCCTGTATTTTGTAATTATAATTTCAATTAATTATATATAACTAGAATGATTAACTAGTTATTAATTGGAATAATATATAATCACATGATGACATTAGAAGACTTTGGAGACAAGAGTATCGCTCAAATACTATTAGTGATAATATATGATAAAATGTAATATTAAAAATGATCTTTTACTAACAAGCTTTCTTGACTGCGATGGGAATTACATTCATTTCAATAGCTCAATACACTACATGAGGATCGTTTCTATAGATCCTAGAAAACACGATTACAGACATTATCTTACTAGTAGGAGATGCTCTATTATCTCTATGGAGTCTCCTTTACAGTTATGCATTCTCTACACCACAACCTAAAGATTACATTTTATCATATCTTATTACCAACACTATTAAGAGATACTCTCTGTCACCAGAGAATCATAATTAATACTATATACAGAGTCTTTTGATGTCATCATGTGATTTCATCATATGATTCCACCATCGCTATCATCAATCTAATCATATCTAAGATATTCAATAACCCAATTGAGTTAAAACATAAACATTCAATCAACTATCACTAACGAGAATTCTTCAGTGGGACAGACGCATGTGCATCCATCCAACCAGGCACATCAGATCAGCACACAACATGCATGCACATCATGATTAGACGAATGGACATGAATCCATCCCATTGAAGACTTTTTCATCACTATATGTTTCAAATAGCATAATAGTGAAATTTGAGTTTACTTATAATATAAAATCTCATCCAATATGATACTAATCAAACAACATCAAACAACGGACACTTATCATATAGAATCGAATTTAATCCTAGACTAGCTCAATCTAATTCCAAGCACAAAACACAACCTAAGAGTTTGCATAATACGAAATGACAATAACTAACACCTTGGATAGAGTAGAACAACTTTTGCGAACCCAATCCCAACAACAATTACAAGGCTTCAGTGAATTAAAGATTAATTATCATAATTTTCAAAGGGAAACATAGAAGACACCTTCTTTGACCTTATTTTGATTTCTAACAAGGATCAACTCAATAGCCAATCAATAGAAAGTCCTATAAATTAACCTAAGCATAAAGGCACGGTCTTTTGAATTACAAAACTTCAGCTTTAAACAGAGTAGCAGCTTCCCTTAACCTCCCAATAAATACTTTTTAATCTCTTCTATTCTTAGTTATCAAAAAGGTACTCAGAAGCCCCAAGAGAACGTGTACGCGTAAAATTGAACAAGAAATCATTATTTAATTAGTAATAATTGCTGAATGAAAAGGGCTGATGCCATGAGGAAATCAATACCAAAAATCCACGAAAAGCTGTTTGGATGCGTGTTGCAGCCCATTCTTCTCTCAAGTTTTGTTGATCATGAACTATATTTTGCACTTGCAGTGAATATGATGGAGAGCCAACAGTCTCTGCAATCACATTTATATTAGCATCTCCAACTAGTGGAGCAGCATTCTGATCAAATTCATCCTGAAGTTTATCAGTATCAATCTCCACTGAGTGCTTTCTCCGATGCCGAAACTTGCTAGCTGCTGCCCTCTGTAACAAGATAGGAATAAGAGATTAAACTATAACCTTTTTACACCATTAACCATGCAGTATTTTACTTAGGATCAGACATCTTTGACCTTCTCCAGTTGCTAATGCCTCCAATGATAAAAAAAAAAAAAGAAAATTAAAAAAAATAAAGTTTTGAAACACTGGATCTAATAAAATATGGCTAAATTCTAAGAATGAATACGATAACCAAAGAGGATCCCTTTAATTATTTTAGAAAAGACATAGAAAGCAAGATTATTTCACAGAAGAGAAAGAAATAGTTGACAGAGGGTGATCATCTGATCCCAAACAATTTGTTAGAAGTCAGATTGTGGTTGACACAAACCAAGCCTTAGTCCTAACCACACATGGTTACATTATGAATGGAAGAAGCTTATCTATAGTGTACAAAAAGGGAAAATAAAATATAAACATTGCATCAACCATATATGCAATTAGCAGTTTCAGACAATTGTAATGATTTCAACGTTTACAGGAGTCCCATATTGCAACAACCATATATTGATTTAGCAGCTTCAAAAAATTGCAATAACCATGAACATGAAATATTTAAAAAGGAAGTAAAAGATATAATACCCACATTTTCATCCTTTTCTGAAGAAGGTGACTTTTCTGACTTTTTTAAACCAACCAGTGCCCTAATCCATTTTCCTGAGACACCCATGGTACAAATCAGCAAACTCAACCAGAAACAGACCTGCCAGAAAACAGTAGCCTTCAAAAAATCAGTTAAAATGCCTTGTTTATTGAGTAAGTACTTACATGGAAACAAGAGAAAAATAGCGAGATAGGGGGGAAATGGCAAAAGCAAAAAAGAATTTGCTTAAGAAAGCATCGCAACCTAATGAATCAAGCAAGATTAAATAAAGAAGTGCTTGATGATGACGGACAAATAAAGATATAAGTTCATAAAATTTCATTAAGTCATATAAAATAGAGAATCTCATGATTTTTATTGAAGACATTATGGGTTTGCTTTGCTACCAGAGCTGTAATTATAAAGTGCATTTGTCACTACTAGAGCATTCTACACAACTAAACCTGCCCTCCTTTCCGGGGGACAAGTTCTGCAACTTGCTCACCAATAGATCATGACGAGACCATCAACGTAGATTTGTTAAGACTCCACATATTGGCCAAAGGTGATTTGCGAATAAAGTTTCATCCTCAAGTTTACACATCTGGGATTTTGTATTGCTCTTTTGTTGGGTCATATAATCAATTACATATTGGGTTGGGTTAGCTCATTTGTGATGATGTTGGCACGTAAGCTAAGATAACATAACCCTTCACTGTAAGATAATATGTAATACTAATTCTAAAATGTAATAAAAATATAATTGAAAAATAATCTGCATATACTCTCATTATGGGGGTTTTCTAAATTGCCTCTCACTCCTATGCACTTCTTGTCATTCTGGCCACTAAGGAAATGATCGTAGACTTTCAAAATTCATTGGTATACTACCAGTTAAATCAGTATTCACCCCCCCATCATAGATGTGCCCAATTTTATTTCAAGGAAACAAACTCAACTCTACAAGGCATCACCAGAAATTAGGAAAACCATCTTTTGGAAGAAAGAGGACTAACACCCATGCACCTTCACAAAGTTTATATTTCCTATTAAAAGAAATTTTTTTGGAAGCAAAACAATCAACATCACGTGTATTCCCAAAAAGGGGCAAAAAGAATAAACTTTTATGAGAAAGAAATAATGAGACCTTGCCGTATTGAATGACATTCACCATTGTAGATTGTTGAACATTTTCTATTTGAGTGACAATAGAAAGATGAAATTAGGGATTGTCCACATTACAGCTTAAGTGATTGGCCTGTTAAAGACCTTTTTGACAATATTAATTATCCACATAAACTGACTGCTAACTAATATAAATGTAGCTGAGATAAATGCCTTATGTAACCAAGGCTAGAAGTTGATTCCTGTCGCAATCTTTAAGTGCCTTGGCCATATACCACTGAAGTATGATGGAACCTATGTGTTATCACCATATATGATGGTTCATCACATTTTTATGAACATTAAATAATCAATTAATTATGCATTTTAAAAGTGGATTATGAAATTAATAGAAGGCACATAGTTGCTATGTTGATAAATCCTTCTTACTACAGGAACTCCTGGCATTTGAAAGCAAAGGGAGTAAAACAAGTATGAAGAAGCTTACTCTATCTTTCTGTTACTGGGCTCCAAAATCAAACAAAATTTTTAGAATTAATCAAGTCTCTCCTACACTGTACTTCCACAAACTATCTCTATTTTGATTGACTTCCAAAATCACTATAAAACTCACCCTTGATTATAAACTAATGCCACCCATATCTTGAAAACAACAGTTTAATTCTTATTCATAAGCATCATTCACGATAATAATTCCGTACCCATGGACAGCTTGACAAAAAGTTGATACACAACATCACAATCATCCACTTGAATCAGACTAAAAAGAACCCCGAAGGACTAACAAACTCAAAACAAATTCCACCAAAGGACGACTGAGTCACACCAAGACTCAATTACACAAACTAAACACATTTCAATTATGAAATGAGAAGCATCAGATTTTATATCCATGAAACCAAAGAATAACACTAACCTGTCAAATTAAATTTCGAAATGAAAAATCTTTCTCTACTCTGAAGCAGCAGATACTCCAATTAACCTCCTCATCCCTTGCACCCTGCGAATCATTAGGCACCAAATTTTCTTGAAAAATCTCCAATTCACTTTCATTAAAAGAAGACCTAACTTATAACTAAACTACATTCTAAAAAAGTCAGATCTTGAAACACAATTCAACAGAATTTGGAAACCAAGCAATGCAGATCAGTAGATCACGAGCTCAACAAGCTGAATTAAACATTCACCTGAAGGTTCAAAATCTCAGGAACCGGATAAAATAAAATTGAAAAAAGGAAAAGAAAGTAAGCAGTTTCAACGACAGAGAGAAAATGTTAGAAAGAGAGATACCTTTTCAGCCGTTGATCTACCAATCAGTCAACAAGTCATCACATCAACTCTTCAATTCAAAAGCTATAATTACAAATCTCTTCTCTCTGTGTGTACGAGCTGAATTTTTGAGGTAATAAAAGTAGACGGCAGCGAGTGTGTTGTGTGAGTGGGTGAGGAAGGACCAGTCGAAGCTAAAGTACGCCGGGAGGTGATTGTTTAAGTAACAGTGTGATGCTGTGTCGTTTTGGTGGGAGAGGTGTGAACATGTCACTGTCATGCACGCGACAAAAAGAGTCAATCACGGGACGTGTGTAATCGAGTCGGTTAGCGCATGCCACGACAGCTTCTCACCTCCGGCACATTTTAGCATAAGCTCGATGGTATATTAAATTTAAAAATTGGAGAAAAAGACAATAAAGTTGGAGGGAAAATATGGTTATAATATAACTCCCGATAAAGAAATTTTACTGTGCGGTTATTGATAACACCCACTACCACCATATTAAGAGATACTCTCTGTCACCAGAGATCATAATTAATACTATATACAGAGTCTTTTGATGTCATCATGTGATTGCATCATATGATTCACCATCGCTATCATCAATCTAACATATCTAGATATTCAATAACCCATTTAGTTAAACACTAAACATTCAATCAACTATCACTAACGAGAATTCTTCAGTGGACAGACCATGTGCATCCATCCAACCAGGCATATCAGATCAGCACACAACATGCATGCACATCATGATTAGACGAATGGACATGAATCCATCCCATTGAAGACTTTTTCATCACTATATGTTTCAAATAGCATAATAGTGAAATTTGAGTTTACTTATAATATAAAATCTCATCCAATATGATACTAATCAAACAACATCAAACAACGGACACTTTCATATAGAATCGAATTTAATCCTAGACTAGCTCAATCTAATTCCAAGCACAAAACACAACCTAAGAGTTTGCATATGCGAAATGACAATAACTAACACCTGGATAGAGTAGAACAACTTTTGCGAACCCAATCCCAACACAATTACAAGGCTTCAGTGAATTAAGATTAATTATCTAATTTCAAAGGGAACATAGAAGACACCTCTTTGACCTTATTGATTTCTAACAAGGATCTACTCAATAGCCAATCAATGAAAGTCCTATGAATTAACCTAAGCATAAAGGCACGGTCTTTTGAATTACAAAACTTCAGCTTTAATAGAGTAGCAGCTTCCCTTAACCTCCAATAATACTTTTTAATCTCTTCTATTCTTAGTTATCAAAAAGGTACTCAGAAGCCCCAAGAGAACGTGTACGCGTAAAATTGAACAAAAACATTATTAATTAGTAATAATTGCTGAATGAAAAGGGCTGATGCCATGAGGAATCATACCAAAAATCCACGAAAGCTGTTTGGATGCGTTGTTCAGCCATTCTTCTCTCAAGTTTTGTTGATCATGAACTATATTTTGCACTTGCAGTGAATATGATGGGAGCCAACAGTCTCTGCAATCACATTTTATTAGCATCTCCAACTAGTGGAGCAGCATTCTGATCAAATTCATCCTGAAGTTTATCAGTTCAATCTCCACTGAGTGCTTTCTCCGCGATGCCGAAACTTGCTAGCTGCTGCCCTCTGTAACAAGATAGGAATAAGAGATTAAACTATAACCTTTTTACACCATTAACCATGCAGTATTTTACTTAGGATCAACATCTTTGACCTTCTCCAGTTGCTAATGCCTCCAATGATAAAAAAAAAAAAAAATTAAAAAAATAAAGTTTTGAAACACTGGATCTAATAAAATATGGCTAAATTCTAAGAATGAATACGATAACCAGAGGGATCCCTTTAATTATTTTAGAAAAGACATAGAAAGCAGATATTTCACAGAAGAGAAAGAAATAGTTGACAGAGGGTGATCATCTGATCCCAAACAATTTGTTAGAATCAGATTGTGGTTGACACAAACCAAGCCTTAGTCCTAACCACACATGTTACATTATGAATGGAAGAAGCTTATCTATAGTGTAAAAAGGGAAAATAAAATTAAACATTGCATCAACCTATATGCTTAGCGTTTCAGACAATTGTAATGATTTCAACGTTTACAGGAGTCCCATATTGCAACAACCATATATTGATTTGCAGCTTCAAAAAATTGCAATAACCATGACACGAAATATTTAAAAAGGAAGTAGAGATATAATATCCACATTTTCATCCTTTTCGAAGAAGGTGACTTTCTGACTTTTTTAAACCACCAGTGCCCTAATCCATTTTCCTGAGACACCATGGTACAAATCAGCAAACTCAACCAACAGACTGCCAGAAACAGTAGCCTTCAAAAAATCAGTTAAAATGCCTTGTTTATTGAGTAAGTACTTACATGGAAACAGAGAAAATAGCTAGATAGGGGGGAACTGGCAAAAGCAAAAGAATTTGCTTAAGAAAGCATCGCAACCTAATGAATCAAGCAAGATTAAATAAGAGTGCTTGATGTGACGGACAAATAAGATTAATTCATAAAATTTCATTAAGTCATATAATAGAGAATCTCATGATTTTTATTGAAGACTTATTATGAACCCTCCCTTGTAGATATCTATAACTCCTTTTAGGAAAATCAATCAATTATATCATAACAAAATTTGCTTCTTCATAAACCCACAATGGGAGCAAAAAAATTTACCTGGTGAGCAAGAGCATATGCCATGGCTCTCTCACGCTTAGCAGCAGCCTCCTGCCTCTTGAGCAACTTGGCTTGAATTTCTTCAACTGATCCTACACTGTCACACCATCCTTCCTGCATTAAATCAGATTCAAACTGATATGAGCACTCTGAGTAAAAGGGAATTCAACTAGCTAATATAGCGGGTGAGGAAGCAACTGTAAAATTTTCTAACCATTAATGTGTAATAATAATGCTGTAACACCAGGAATGCTATGTAATTGTAATATAGTTTCTTCTATAAATAGCAATAGCAATTCAGTACTCCTTTCCTCTTATCATAAGAGGAATCACCAACTTCAAATACAGTAAATAAAAAACATCAAGATTGACTATACAAGTCCATATGGAATCCAAAAGTCTTAACTCTTCATATGTATCATAGGTTCCAGCTTATTAGGACTGCCATATCCTAGTTATTTATTCACATCTACCGTATTCATTCAGTTTGGCACTCCAGCAATGCAGATAACATATCTTCATGCAAGAGAAATATCCATTGGGAAAATAGGGAAGATGGCAAGTTCCCACTGCACCCAAAGAAATCCAACAAAGGAAACAGCTAAGAACTGTATGACTGTAAACTATTTTAAGTTGCTTACCTCTATTTCTCGAACACGAGCCTCATTCGCAAGTTGTTGCTGAAGTTTATGTTGTGCTGTTTGACTTTCCAATGCCAATCGAACACGCCTTGCTCGGACACGGGCCTGAACTCTTACTAAAGCTTGCATGCAGCGAAGAGTTATTGCAGCTTGTTTTCTCACTGCATGACCTCTGACAAGGGCTTGAAGTCTCACTAACCCTTTCAATGCTCTTAAAGCCCTTCTAGCCTGATACGTATCATTAAGACAACCTAGTCAGATCAGAACTGCTAGGCTGAAAAGAACTTGAAAGATATGGATATCAAATTATTAAACTAAACAGGGCATAGGTGCATAATATACAGCTACTCTCTGACCAGTACACATGACTTCAGGAAAAAAATAAAAATTGTGTTGCTCCAGGCAGATGAATGTTTGCTCCTGAAATATTATGAGAGGCTTTTAGTTTTTATATTTTATTATTTCATCAGCAAATGACAATAGATGACTTTAGTAAGCAGAAGCAGCATGCAGCTCAATTTAGAGTAAAAAAGGAACTCAACTCAAAGTAGCATAGAACTTTAGCATCTGAGTACAGTTTGGAGAGAAGTCACAAGATGTAGTGAGATAACATCAAATATTTTTAGAGAAGCAGCCCCTAAATCTTTTAGTCATTGCATGATCTTAATATAGGACAGGCAGCAACATTGTCTTTTCCAACTAGAATACCATATTCGCTTAACAGAACCTTTGATAGTTCACTTACCCAACCAAATCTAATTCAACAATTTAGAAATGGACCACTAGGTGCTACATGCTCTCACAAGAACCTAGAAACACATGTAAAATTTAAAGTTCATTTTAGTTGGTTTCACAAATGTGTTTGCCAATATAATGTTAAATAAGCCTCATTTATATTTTCTTATTTAACTTGGTAAAAGCAATAAATTTATACCTCACTTTAAGGTCACAACAAGGTATGCTGGAAATAATTGCACATAAAAAATTGTCTAAGCTATGTTACACAGTCAAAATATAGTCACAGCCTGGCTTTATGATTTGCAATTTGTTTATAAAAAAAGACACTTAACCAGGCTAGCATGGGTCTGCAACCTACTCCGTCAAGTCTTATTAGCCAAAATAAGAGATTATGGTGTGTTTTGGTGGATAGGAAAAAAATATGATTGGATAATTTCAAAAGTTGATAATTCCTTTTTTTTTTTTTGGCAACACAAGGGGATAATATAAGTTATCTCAGGTCCATAAATTTATCCCATCTACATGGAATATCTAAGTCTAATTCCATGAAAAGTCATGGGATTAGCTTATTCCATGTTTATGAGACTAAATTTTTGGACGTGCCTGTATTTTGTAATTATAATTTCAATTAATTATATATAACTAGAATGATTAACTAGTTATTAATTGGAATAATATATAATCACATGATGACATTAGAAGACTTTGGAGACAAGAGTATCGCTCAAATACTATTAGTGATAATATATGATAAAATGTAATATTAAAAATGATCTTTTACTAACAAGCTTTCTTGACTGCGATGGGAATTACATTCATTTCAATAGCTCAATACACTACATGAGGATCGTTTCTATAGATCCTAGAAAACACGATTACAGACATTATCTTACTAGTAGGAGATGCTCTATTATCTCTATGGAGTCTCCTTTACAGTTATGCATTCTCTACACCACAACCTAAAGATTACATTTTATCATATCTTATTACCAACACTATTAAGAGATACTCTCTGTCACCAGAGAATCATAATTAATACTATATACAGAGTCTTTTGATGTCATCATGTGATTTCATCATATGATTCCACCATCGCTATCATCAATCTAATCATATCTAAGATATTCAATAACCCAATTGAGTTAAAACATAAACATTCAATCAACTATCACTAACGAGAATTCTTCAGTGGGACAGACGCATGTGCATCCATCCAACCAGGCACATCAGATCAGCACACAACATGCATGCACATCATGATTAGACGAATGGACATGAATCCATCCCATTGAAGACTTTTTCATCACTATATGTTTCAAATAGCATAATAGTGAAATTTGAGTTTACTTATAATATAAAATCTCATCCAATATGATACTAATCAAACAACATCAAACAACGGACACTTATCATATAGAATCGAATTTAATCCTAGACTAGCTCAATCTAATTCCAAGCACAAAACACAACCTAAGAGTTTGCATAATACGAAATGACAATAACTAACACCTTGGATAGAGTAGAACAACTTTTGCGAACCCAATCCCAACAACAATTACAAGGCTTCAGTGAATTAAAGATTAATTATCATAATTTTCAAAGGGAAACATAGAAGACACCTTCTTTGACCTTATTTTGATTTCTAACAAGGATCAACTCAATAGCCAATCAATAGAAAGTCCTATAAATTAACCTAAGCATAAAGGCACGGTCTTTTGAATTACAAAACTTCAGCTTTAAACAGAGTAGCAGCTTCCCTTAACCTCCCAATAAATACTTTTTAATCTCTTCTATTCTTAGTTATCAAAAAGGTACTCAGAAGCCCCAAGAGAACGTGTACGCGTAAAATTGAACAAGAAATCATTATTTAATTAGTAATAATTGCTGAATGAAAAGGGCTGATGCCATGAGGAAATCAATACCAAAAATCCACGAAAAGCTGTTTGGATGCGTGTTGCAGCCCATTCTTCTCTCAAGTTTTGTTGATCATGAACTATATTTTGCACTTGCAGTGAATATGATGGAGAGCCAACAGTCTCTGCAATCACATTTATATTAGCATCTCCAACTAGTGGAGCAGCATTCTGATCAAATTCATCCTGAAGTTTATCAGTATCAATCTCCACTGAGTGCTTTCTCCGATGCCGAAACTTGCTAGCTGCTGCCCTCTGTAACAAGATAGGAATAAGAGATTAAACTATAACCTTTTTACACCATTAACCATGCAGTATTTTACTTAGGATCAGACATCTTTGACCTTCTCCAGTTGCTAATGCCTCCAATGATAAAAAAAAAAAAAGAAAATTAAAAAAAATAAAGTTTTGAAACACTGGATCTAATAAAATATGGCTAAATTCTAAGAATGAATACGATAACCAAAGAGGATCCCTTTAATTATTTTAGAAAAGACATAGAAAGCAAGATTATTTCACAGAAGAGAAAGAAATAGTTGACAGAGGGTGATCATCTGATCCCAAACAATTTGTTAGAAGTCAGATTGTGGTTGACACAAACCAAGCCTTAGTCCTAACCACACATGGTTACATTATGAATGGAAGAAGCTTATCTATAGTGTACAAAAAGGGAAAATAAAATATAAACATTGCATCAACCATATATGCAATTAGCAGTTTCAGACAATTGTAATGATTTCAACGTTTACAGGAGTCCCATATTGCAACAACCATATATTGATTTAGCAGCTTCAAAAAATTGCAATAACCATGAACATGAAATATTTAAAAAGGAAGTAAAAGATATAATACCCACATTTTCATCCTTTTCTGAAGAAGGTGACTTTTCTGACTTTTTTAAACCAACCAGTGCCCTAATCCATTTTCCTGAGACACCCATGGTACAAATCAGCAAACTCAACCAGAAACAGACCTGCCAGAAAACAGTAGCCTTCAAAAAATCAGTTAAAATGCCTTGTTTATTGAGTAAGTACTTACATGGAAACAAGAGAAAAATAGCGAGATAGGGGGGAAATGGCAAAAGCAAAAAAGAATTTGCTTAAGAAAGCATCGCAACCTAATGAATCAAGCAAGATTAAATAAAGAAGTGCTTGATGATGACGGACAAATAAAGATATAAGTTCATAAAATTTCATTAAGTCATATAAAATAGAGAATCTCATGATTTTTATTGAAGACATTATGGGTTTGCTTTGCTACCAGAGCTGTAATTATAAAGTGCATTTGTCACTACTAGAGCATTCTACACAACTAAACCTGCCCTCCTTTCCGGGGGACAAGTTCTGCAACTTGCTCACCAATAGATCATGACGAGACCATCAACGTAGATTTGTTAAGACTCCACATATTGGCCAAAGGTGATTTGCGAATAAAGTTTCATCCTCAAGTTTACACATCTGGGATTTTGTATTGCTCTTTTGTTGGGTCATATAATCAATTACATATTGGGTTGGGTTAGCTCATTTGTGATGATGTTGGCACGTAAGCTAAGATAACATAACCCTTCACTGTAAGATAATATGTAATACTAATTCTAAAATGTAATAAAAATATAATTGAAAAATAATCTGCATATACTCTCATTATGGGGGTTTTCTAAATTGCCTCTCACTCCTATGCACTTCTTGTCATTCTGGCCACTAAGGAAATGATCGTAGACTTTCAAAATTCATTGGTATACTACCAGTTAAATCAGTATTCACCCCCCCATCATAGATGTGCCCAATTTTATTTCAAGGAAACAAACTCAACTCTACAAGGCATCACCAGAAATTAGGAAAACCATCTTTTGGAAGAAAGAGGACTAACACCCATGCACCTTCACAAAGTTTATATTTCCTATTAAAAGAAATTTTTTTGGAAGCAAAACAATCAACATCACGTGTATTCCCAAAAAGGGGCAAAAAGAATAAACTTTTATGAGAAAGAAATAATGAGACCTTGCCGTATTGAATGACATTCACCATTGTAGATTGTTGAACATTTTCTATTTGAGTGACAATAGAAAGATGAAATTAGGGATTGTCCACATTACAGCTTAAGTGATTGGCCTGTTAAAGACCTTTTTGACAATATTAATTATCCACATAAACTGACTGCTAACTAATATAAATGTAGCTGAGATAAATGCCTTATGTAACCAAGGCTAGAAGTTGATTCCTGTCGCAATCTTTAAGTGCCTTGGCCATATACCACTGAAGTATGATGGAACCTATGTGTTATCACCATATATGATGGTTCATCACATTTTTATGAACATTAAATAATCAATTAATTATGCATTTTAAAAGTGGATTATGAAATTAATAGAAGGCACATAGTTGCTATGTTGATAAATCCTTCTTACTACAGGAACTCCTGGCATTTGAAAGCAAAGGGAGTAAAACAAGTATGAAGAAGCTTACTCTATCTTTCTGTTACTGGGCTCCAAAATCAAACAAAATTTTTAGAATTAATCAAGTCTCTCCTACACTGTACTTCCACAAACTATCTCTATTTTGATTGACTTCCAAAATCACTATAAAACTCACCCTTGATTATAAACTAATGCCACCCATATCTTGAAAACAACAGTTTAATTCTTATTCATAAGCATCATTCACGATAATAATTCCGTACCCATGGACAGCTTGACAAAAAGTTGATACACAACATCACAATCATCCACTTGAATCAGACTAAAAAGAACCCCGAAGGACTAACAAACTCAAAACAAATTCCACCAAAGGACGACTGAGTCACACCAAGACTCAATTACACAAACTAAACACATTTCAATTATGAAATGAGAAGCATCAGATTTTATATCCATGAAACCAAAGAATAACACTAACCTGTCAAATTAAATTTCGAAATGAAAAATCTTTCTCTACTCTGAAGCAGCAGATACTCCAATTAACCTCCTCATCCCTTGCACCCTGCGAATCATTAGGCACCAAATTTTCTTGAAAAATCTCCAATTCACTTTCATTAAAAGAAGACCTAACTTATAACTAAACTACATTCTAAAAAAGTCAGATCTTGAAACACAATTCAACAGAATTTGGAAACCAAGCAATGCAGATCAGTAGATCACGAGCTCAACAAGCTGAATTAAACATTCACCTGAAGGTTCAAAATCTCAGGAACCGGATAAAATAAAATTGAAAAAAGGAAAAGAAAGTAAGCAGTTTCAACGACAGAGAGAAAATGTTAGAAAGAGAGATACCTTTTCAGCCGTTGATCTACCAATCAGTCAACAAGTCATCACATCAACTCTTCAATTCAAAAGCTATAATTACAAATCTCTTCTCTCTGTGTGTACGAGCTGAATTTTTGAGGTAATAAAAGTAGACGGCAGCGAGTGTGTTGTGTGAGTGGGTGAGGAAGGACCAGTCGAAGCTAAAGTACGCCGGGAGGTGATTGTTTAAGTAACAGTGTGATGCCGTGTCGTTTTGGTGGGAGAGGTGTGAACATGTCACTGTCATGCACGCGACAAAAAGAGTCAATCACGGGACGTGTGTAATCGAGTCGGTTAGCGCATGCCACGACAGCTTCTCACCTCCGGCACATTTTAGCATAAGCTCGATGGTATATTAAATTTAAAAATTGGAGAAAAAGACAAAAAGTTGGAGGGAAAATATGATTATAATAACTCCTGATTAAGAAATTTTACTGTGCGGTTATTGATAACACCCACTAGTGTAGTACAAAAATGGGTAAATTAGAATAGAGTAATACTAAAATTATAAATAAATTTTATAAAAATCTCCATATAAAATAATGTGATAAAAAATAAATAAAAAAATAAATTTAATGAGTTTAATTTTTAATTTTATTATTCTATTTATTTTTTGTCACTTTATTTTATATGTAAATTTTGGTAAGATTTCTTTGTAAATATAATATTATTGATTACAATAATATAAAAGAGTTTGTATAAACTGACGTGATATACCATATAAATATGATATGATAGAGGATTTACATAATATTAATATGATATTCGATTATATAGTCTCCAATACCATGTGATCTATCATGTGACATGTGACGTTAATTTACTCCAACTCACCTTATACGAGGCTTATACAAATAGTTTTAAATAGGAGCCTAACCTCCATTCTATTAACCATTTCCGTTAAAATTAACTGATATGCATGTTATATTGATATTTTTAAGTTACTGCAATGGTATTTTAGACTTTTTAAATTTAAAGAAAAACAATTTTTTTAGATAGCACCCACTAGTGTACAAAATAGGAGCCTACCCCCCATTCGTTAACCTTTTCCATTTAAATTAACTGATTTGCAGGTTATATTGATATTTTTAGGTTATTAGTTATTACAAAGTTATTACTTTTCACCTCATATTCATATATTTTTTAATTTCCCCCTCCTCCTCCTTTTCTTTTCTCTTCGCTCTTTCTTCCTCTCTTCTCTTCTCTCCTCCTTTCTTTCTTCTTCTCTTTCCCCTATTTTATTTCTTCACCCCTCGCTGGCATGGCCTACGGCTGGCTAGATTTAGTCCTCGCTTGAGGGCCAAGTGGTAGCTAGATCACGCTTAGGGATGGACACAAAACTCGACCCTGTAGGGACCCGCCCGACCCAGGCCTGATCGGGGCAGATTTTCCCCGAATCGTTCGGGCTTTGGGCCGGGATCAGACCTAAGATTAGCCCCAGAATTCGGGGACAGGCCGGGGCTAGGATAGGTCTTTCCCTGGCCAGTCTCGCCCAGCGTCGTATATTATATATACAGTAAAACCTCTTTATAGTTATAATAGTGGGATTAATTAATTTTATTACTATAAAAAGGTTATAATTTAATAGAGGTATGATAACAAAAATTTCTTTATAATTCATATTTTAGTAGTACAGTATTAGGATTTCAATTGATGTTTTAATACTACTAAGATTTCAATTCAGCGTTTCAATTGTCTACTTTTGAAACGGATAGAAGATTGTGTCTTGAAACCAACAAATATAAATATCATTGATGAAATTGTAAATGTAGTTGCTGCATTGTCAAATTGATGTGAAGCCACAAACTATTATCAAATGTTTTAATCATTACAAAATTATACAACAAATTGATGTGAAGCCATATATTATTGCCAAATGTTTTAATCATTACAAAATTCTGCAGCAAATTGATGTGAAGTCACATACTACTGCAAATTATTTTAATCATTACCAAATTAGGATCCCCGATGTCGATGAATTGTAAATTACCAATGAAGTGGATAAAGAGAATCAAAGAGTTATTGTAGAATTCAGTGATCAGATTCGACAACTTCATTACACGAATCAAGTGGATATTGATGTTTTTTTCAATCATCCAAATGAGCAATAAGTCATATATGCTTTAACTAAAGAAGAAATCATTACTACAATTGGACAAAAAGATAAAGGAAATAATCATGAGTATGATAGTACGGAAATACAAAAAGTTTTGTGCCAAGAAATTCTAAACATACTTGAGAAACTAGAAATATTTGGCTTCAACAAGAAAATGTAGAAAATGTTTATGCTAGTGAGTAATCTATACGCAAGTTAAAAAAATGTAATAACAACTCTAAAGTATAAATCATTATCTCAAACAATTTTAAATAAATATTTTATTTCATATTAAACCTTTAATGTAACATAACATTTTTTTTTTTGCAATATACAGATAATTATTACTATGTGGAGGCAACTTTTCTTAAGACGGGAATTAGAAAAATTATAACTTATTACAATGTGGAGTTTATTCTTATTTATAACTATCCCAAATTGGGAATTGAATTATTTATGATTATGTAGAGTTTATTCCTATATAGAGTATCACTATAGAGAGGTTTTACTGTATATATATATATACATCAATATTAATTTTAATAATTAAAAATCAATCATATATACCTATATTAATTTTAATATTTGAAAATCAATTATACATTATACAATGACAAATTATAATTATGTAAGTATTTTATGAAACTATATACAAATAGGTAATAAATAAAACTAGATTAAATATAATAAATCATTATAAATATTTGTAATATATATATATTATACATAATATGTTAATGTTATGAAACAAAAGTTATACATTCGATATTATATATTATACATTATATATGGTATATATTTGACATTATACATTGTATATTATATATGGTATATACTATATAAGTATAATGTATATAACATATATATGTTGTACATTATAATTTATACATAATATGCTATTATCTATAATCTTATGTTAATACATAATATATATGTAATATATTATTTGTTGTTTTGATTGATTATAATGAATCAATAAATCATTATAATTTTTTTTTTTTTTGGTCCCTTATTGAATCATTATTTCAATTCTATTACCTAATTGCCTTTGTTATATTGTGATAGCTATTTATTTAGAATTTATTATAATATACGTATATGGTAGTTATTTATTTAAAATTTATTATAATATATATGTATAATGTATCATGTGTAATACATTATATATTAATGAGACATTATATATGTTAATACTTATTACTTAATACAATAATATATAATATTATACTGTTAATATATAATATATTTATATTATGTATAATGTATGATAATTATAATTATGATATTTGGATTTATTATAATCATTAATCAGGGGCGGATCCAACACTTGTTGAGGGTGAGCATTTTAACAAAAAAATACTAATATGTATAATTGTGGGGTGGGTCTTTTTGACAGCTCATGTTTTGAATCTTGATACTGTCATGTTTTGAATCTTTTGATTATAGATCTGTCACATATTGTCATATATTATCAATTTAGTATAATGGTTTTTATATTTAATATGTACATCATAGATTTAATTTCTTTTTTGATGATATAGTCTTTATGTTTAATATGTATATTATATATTTAATTTTTTTTTGGTTGGTATATATAATTTGGAGGAAATGATAATAAAACTAATAAGGATACAAAAAGACAGAAAACCCCCAAACGGGGAATTTGGGGAATCCCCGAATTCCCCGTTTAGGGAACAGACTTTTTTTCGAGGACTCCCCAAACGGGCTTTGATCCGGGATCAGGGAATCCCCTTGGGCTTTCGGGCCGGGGCCGAAGACAAGGGTCCCTAGCCCCGCATTGGCTTGTGCCCATCCCTAACACGCTACGCCAGAAAAATAGTCGTTGTCATGTATCAATTTTATTTTATTTTAATTTTTTGTTTATGGGTTTCTCAGATTTTGATGGAAGCTTTTTTGTGTTAGATTGATAAATATTTGATGCGAACTCCTTCAATTTGTGAAGAAACCTGCCGATCAAGAACGTACAGATCTAGGAACAATCAGAATTCGAAGAACCGCGACCCGAAACGAATCTATCGTTGGAACCTTGGTATAGATAATCTGAAACGCTACAATCTTGATTTAGATTGATAAGTTTCGTGGACGAACGTCACAAGAATTGGTGATTCTTGATGAGTTCTAGAGATCAAGATGCAATCTTTAAAAAAAAAAAAAAAAAAAAAACGAAAGATTTAATTATTCCTCCAAAAAGTGTGCGGCCAAAACAGCCTACAACTATATATAACTAACTAATGAGCCCAAAATAAGGCTAACAACCCATTAATAGGTCTTAACCCTAATAACTAACCCAAACCCAACTAATAAAAATAATAAAAGAGTTGAGCTTTAGTAAATAAATAGCTCCAGCCCATTACACCAAAATAAGTCTTAAAATAGCTTAAAATAGCCCATATAAAATAACAATTATTAAGGCCCATGAACAAAGGCTTGGACACCAACTTGGACTCAATTAAGGCTAGCAAGAATCGGTCTTCAATTCCTCAAACTTGGACTTGGGCATACTCAACTTCATGCATTGCTTCCTTTGTTAGGAAACGATCAAGTTATGGCAGCGGAAACAAAAAAAAAAAACATAAACATCATAGATCGTTCATTTGAACCAAGATCAGGGCACAAATTTACAGTTTATATAATATATAATAGAATCTGCAAAAAAATCAGTTCAAGGTTAAGAAACCATACCCACGTTTGGAGGCTCCTCCAACTTGTCTCTGAATGGGTTTCTCTACCGACTCAAGAGTAGGATCGAACCAACGGTAGTCCACACGAAGATAATCTCCAATGAACTAAAGAGAAATTTGCTAGATCCTCTTTAGCCTTAA